ATATATATATATATATATATATTGTCGCACTTGCAATTCTGTCAATAATGTATTTTGAGTATCTGCTTATATGTGCATGCTTATGTATGTTGATAGATACTTCTGTGTATGTGCTTTCATTAATTTTTTCCTCACTCAATATGTATGTAATGTTGATGTATTGGGTTTAGATACCTGTGATCATGCTGGTGGCTGAAGTTCCTTGTGATATAACTTTAGTCAATAATGTATTTTGAGTATCTGCTTATATGTGCATGCTTATGTATGTTGATAGATACTTCTGTGTATGTGCTTTCATTAATTTTTTCCTCACTCAATATGTATGTAATGTTGATGTATTGGGTTTAGATACCTGTGATCATGCTGGTGGCTGAAGTTCCTTGTGATATAACTTTACCACATGGAAGCTCTTCCATTGCGGATTTATCTGAAGTGAAATCCTCCAAGATATTTGGACACCATAACAGTGCTTCTTCAAAGGATTCAATGATCACAAAGGATGATGCTGTTGTTGGTGTAAAGCCAATACGTCTTGATATTAGTTTCAAGTCAACATCTCATACGGGGCTCCAAACTTCTGAACTGGTAACTGTTATTTTCCCTTCTAGGCTGGATCCCTATGTCACGCTAAATTTTAGGATCTTAATTGTTAAGACGTACTGGTTTAGATAGTAAAGCTTATTTTTATATGGACGCTGAAGTTCATTGTGGTTGAAATATTAGTCTTCTACTGAAAATGAATGCATTTGTGAAACATTGAGATATCACCGATATGCTTGGTTTTAAAACCATAATTTGAGTTTACAATTTGCTTGGCTTTTACTTCTGTATCATATGTCTATTCTCAGTTTACATCTTGCTTGACTTCTACTGCTGCATTATAAGTGTCAGTGACTTCAATGCCGGTAGAATTGGATGGAGATGGAATTAGGCAACGCGTGAACACAAAACCATTCTTTTAAAGCAACTTAAACAAGATGTCATTGACACGCTCAAGGGATGATGGATTGGGAGAAGGATCAATTGGTGAGGTTATCTAGCGGACGGTGTGACTGAGGCACAACACAGCTGCATTTGGCTTGAATTTTGGATTGGATTTAATGGATTTCTTGGATGTTGGAGAGCATAGTTGAAGATATGAATAAATTGCACAAGTTGTCCCATATTTATTGTTGAAGTCAAGGATAATGTTGGCATTTTGAAAATTTGTTTGTTGAGACATGAGACACCCATCCACAAACATGGTTATCTTGTCTTTGTTTACATAACCATGTTAGGACTATCTAAAAACCTCGTTTGTTCTCCAATGCTAAAAGGCGCCATTAGGAGTCTTAGAAGCATGCTAGAGAAGCCTATGATATTTGCGCTCTTAGTTAATCAAGGTGTTTTCGCATTGCCATGTTGTCTTAAAAAATTATACAAAATTTATAACCTGATAAGTATGCATCCCCAGGAGAAAATTAGACGGAGCTGGGAATTATGGTGTGGCCTGACAAAATTGAGCTAATTTAAGGGGATTTCTCGACTTATGAACACTTCTAAAGTGGTTGACCCCAAGGAAGATGGCATTGAGGAGGGCCAATTGGCAATCTCCTTTATCTGCATGCACATTGGATTGATTACAAAGAGAGCCAAGACACCCACTACCCATGGAGGGGGTGGCATTTGAGTTCCAGACTGCCCTTTAGCCATGGTCATGGAAGAATGATGGAGCCAACCACCACGTTAAAATAAGCTTGCAGTGTGGGAGGAACCTCCCATTGTTAAGTGCAACTTTATTAACCGAAGAGAGGTCTTTGCTAGGAGAAAGTCCAACATTAGAGAAAAATCTAAGCATCTTGGGCGACCTTTTATACAACTGAAGATTTTAAGCATCAAGGAAGTTTATGATGAGCCTTCCCATGTTGCTTTGAATGAAAAAACTAAACCTGTGGCTAATCTTGATTGAGCCACTTCCAAGTAGGGGGAAGGAGTGAGATTTTTGGTTGAGCTTTAGAGTTTGGAAGGAGAAGAAAATGAGGAGAAGATATCAAATATGGTTCGATCACTCCAATAATATCGAGTGGTGTTCCAGCCAGTTCAGGGATTGCCTCTATGGGAACACAAGCATGTTATCATTTTGAAGGAAGGAGTTTCACATATCAGTGTTCATCTGTATCGTTCTCCTTAACTCCAGAAGGATGAGATCAAGAGATTGATGAGGGAGATGCTGGAGGCAAGGACCATCGACCCAGTGACATTCTATTTTTCAGTCCAATGCCATTAGTCCATTGCTTTTCCTTCGTTCCACCTTGAGGATAAGGTGTCACTTTAGGAGGGGAGTATTGATGGACCGACCGATTTGATTGGGAGGGAATTAGAAAGTTTTCTAATCAATAGAGAACTGTTTAAGAATGTTCTTAATCAAAAGGGATTAATCTAATTTAAGAGCATATTTGGGGGCTGATTTGGGGGTTAATTTAGAGGAAATTAATTAGAAAATATTTCATAATTGAAGAGGGCGTATTTGGGGGCTGATTTGGAGGAGACTAATTAGAAAATATTTCTTATTTGAAGAGAGCAGATTTGGGGGCTGATTTGAGGGCTAATTTTGGAGGGAAATAATTAAAGAAATTTGAGCGAATTGGGGGAGGCTGGGTATTTGTTGTTTATTCTTTGCTTTAAGTAGGTGATTTTCCTAGGGTTTGGGAAAATAAAATTTAAGTTTAAAATCTATGTAGATTCGAGGTGCTCCTACTCCTATGATCGAATATGATATTGAGAATATAATGCTATCTCGAACAATCGACAAATCATTCTACTATGAATCCAAATACAAAAATAGAGTTTTAGAAATCATAATAAAATACAAATAAAAGAATAACATATTGTCTCAAAAGACATAAAAGTCATTCTAAAATAGTATTTAAAGATAAAAGTGTGGTTTGAAAATTCTTCATTTTGGTTATCAATACAACAACGATAGTATCATATCATCTTGAAAGGTGAAAATGATTTTTTGCGGAGTGATTTGAATACAATAATGAGTTTTTACGAAATCATCTACGCTCCTAGAGATTTTTCATCTATTTTATGAAAATAGGATATGTTTATTTTAATCTGGAGTTAAAGGCAAACCTTTATGTTTAATCACATCTTAAAAAAATTAATCTTCTAAGAATACTCTCAATTAAAGTAGTGACAAAATTTTTCTTGGATTTCAACGATTAAGACCATAATGAGAGGTGAAGAATTTTTTTAGGGGATTGGATCCATTCGGAATAGTTCTTTCTGAAGCCAGATGATGAGAGGAAGGGAGCACATTACAATTATGGAACCACCCAGAAGCACTCCAGTCTATTATATGTTAGACTTTAATATTTTAGAGAGAGAACTTTTATGTTTGAATTGACATTTTATTAGATATGTGAGATTAGGTTCTTGGAGGGTGAGGACTTATGTTTTAGGTTCGCCTTAGAACCTAGATCTAAATTAGGCACTACATAATAGTAACCCGAACCTATTGTAAGTGCAATCTGCCCGGAGTGGAAAGCTAGCTAAACAATCTAATCACTTCAAAACCATGTTATTTGGTCTTTATGAAAGATAGGTAGGCTGTTTAAGTTTTTGGAATTTAGAGCTAACGTCTAAAGAAAATTCTAAGTGGCCCCGTACTTATGAATGTTAGTATGCTTCTAGAACTTATGTAGTTAAGTTTTAATTTTAATTTATTTTTAATGCAATGCATGCTAGTTGAAACATCATAAATCATGAATGCTTGAAATTTTTGAAAAAAACTTAAGAAAATAATTTTTTAGAAGACTAAGCTTCTCCAGATTCAGTACCTCATCCTCATCGGTCAGATTATTTGAACTCTACCCTCAGGCAGGGAAGTGTCTCTAAAACGAAGAAAGAAAAATAAGCATGTAACCCTAGACGGTCTCCGGTTTACTTTCTTATAGTGATCATCTTTCTATGTTATTTATCCCTAGAATTTTATTTTTGAATTGTGAGTTGAAGAATTTTCATTCTTAATAGCCTAACAAAATTACAGGCACAAGCACATGCAAGAAAGAAACCTATGAAAAATTTGTAATTTCTACTACACAATCAATTTAAACAATCATCAAATAAAATATGGAATATCAAAAGTTCATCTAGTAAGTGCCACTTCATTACAACTCAGGGTTTGTTGAAAGCAAAGGTGACCTGGCTCAATCAACAACAATCTGAATTTTATTTCCATGAATGATGCAAGTCTTAAAATAAGACACTTCTCTCTTGTCTTCGTTTCTTCCTCTCTGACTTATTTCTTTCTTCGGATTCCTTGTAATTCACCTTCTTTTCCTCCAACTTCTTGTATGTTTATCTAATTGGAGTCTTCAAATAGAAAAAACTCTCCATTAAAGGATGTTTATTTTTCTTTGGATCTTAAATCTTTTTGGAAATACCTTATTTTGAAAACTTTCACAACTCTTGTTTTAATGAATTATATTTTTGAAAAATTAAAATGACTCAGTGAAGCATTTGAATATATCAATAATCAAAAGGGAATCATAATTATAATCATTTTGCTCATTTTTGTGCAACCTGTAACTTGGTCATGTTTTTAATGATTAGAGGGTTAAGCAACAAAAAACACCTGTAGAAAATATTGTTTAAAATCATGATTAATTCTAGCCCATTTATATAGCCCTACATAAGCATGACCCCCTGTAAAAATTTGATTAGTAAGAAACATTATGATCGTTCCTGATGGGGACATCAGAGCTAGGAAAATTTATCAGAGGCGTGGCCGTCGATCTACGGCCACGATCGTGCCGATGTATTTTTAAGTTGTCATATATATTTTTGTTTTATTTATTTATATTTGTTCACATTTTTTCCCCTTACTTACGGGTGGTCATGTGTAAGCCCAAAGGGCGACGTCGTGGTTTTTTCTTCTCTATCTTCCCTTCCCCTACTTGCCGTCGGCCTAGGATCTCCCCACTCCCTAAGCCGTCGGCCACCCCAGCCATCCACCCTCAACCGTCGGCTAGCCCCTCCCAACCCCATCTTCCACCCGATCCCATCTCCCTCCACCACCATCCACGGCCAAGCCCCATACCATCGGCCCCTTCCCTTACTTTTCCCTGATGCAGGACTACAATGTTTTAATTGTATGCGATAATAATTTGCACGATTTCTTGAATAAAACAATTAGGATTAAAATGGTTAGCAGTCAAAATGACAAAAGAAAACAAGAGAGGGATGCCTACGTTTAGGCTAAGCCACTTGCCATAAGCTTGAATTATCAAAACAAGTTAGAAATTCAACAACATGCGAAGTAAATAGCTTTCAATAAAATCCCTAATCTAACAATAAGATTAGAAGCATAGAAATCACGCTCAATCCGACTTTTACTAAGCTTAGGCATAAGGCGAAGCACGGCTCCTTGTGACTCGTCACCACCTACAAAATAAGGGGATTAGGAATATAATTGAAAAGGGGAAGAAGTCCACCTTTGTCAAAGCTCGGAAATAAGTAGTCGAAATGTTGAAGAAGTTCGTCATAGCTTTCCTTGAAGGTTCAACTTTGTCGAAACCCAGAAACAAGTAGTCGAGATGTTGAAGAAGTTCGTCGTAGCTTCCCTTGAAGGTTCAACTAGAGAGAAAGAAGTTTCTCCCAAGTGTTGAAGTGTTGAATACGCGAGTTGGTACTTCCCTTGAAGGCTCCTATTGAAAGAGAGGAGCTTTTCTTGAAAACTCCCAAGGAAACAAGGGGAAGAAGTGGCCGGCCATGGATGGGAGAGGATTGGGGAATTTAGGTTCGGATTTTGGGAGGCTTAAGTGGGGGGAAATTAATTCAAACAATTTCCTTCTAGATGCTTGAGTGAAATATTCAAGGAAGGGAAAGGGTGAGAGGGGCCGACGGCAAGGGTGATAGGGAAGGGCTTTAATTTAATTTCAAAAGGAGAGGTTCTCCTTTGGAAAGAAATCAACTAAGAGGGACTAGGGGAAATTCGGCCAAAGAGGGTAGAAGGAAATAGGAATTGTTTCCAAGAGGGGAGTTAGTGGATTTGGAAACAAATCCCATGGATTTAATAGAGGGGGCCGACGACTAATGGGGCTTGGGAGGGAATCAAGGAAGCTTTAATGCTTCCTTAAATTAGGTAATGAGATTTGGATTGAAATATTTCATTCCAAATTAAATTAAAATCAAATAGGAAAGGGTTTGAAAACTTTCCTAAAATAGATTTCCTAAATTAGGAAAGAATTTCAAATTCAAATAATTTTGAATTTTGAATTTAAACATTCCTAACTTAAGAGTGGTTGCTTATGGAAAGTATTCAAGAGGGGGTTGAATTTGTGGAGGGAAGATGGGGAGGTGGGATAGGGCCGGCGACTTAGTGGGTTTGTGGGGAATTTCGGTGGAGGGATGGTGGGGGTTATGATGGCCGGCGGTTTGGGTGGTGAGGTGGGGGTTAGGTGGCCGGCGGTTAGGTGATGAAGGGAAATGAAAAATAAATAACGAAGAAGAATCACGAACCCGGCCGTCTCCAAGGTTGGTGGGTGATCCAAATTCCCTCTTATAGGGATCTCTCTCCAAGCACTCTCAAGATCTCTCCAAGAACTCAAGCAATGTCAAAAGTTTTTTTTTTAATCATTCAATCATTAAGCTTTCAAAGAGAAACATAGGTGCTATAAATAGCCTCGTGCATAGGACTCAAAATAAGAAAGACGACAATACAACCTCATAGGTGCTATAAATAGCCTCAGGGCTTACATACGACCTCCATTAAGTAAGGGGTAAAAATAGGAAAACAATTACAACATAAATAATAAAAGACAAATAACATAATAAAAGACAAATACATGAAATGACTCAAAAATACAGCGACTCGATCGTGGCCGTAGATCGACGGCCACGTCTCTGATAGACTTTCCTTGTGCTGATGTCTCCATCATTCCCCCCATCATCATTGTCATTACACCTTTCCTTAATTAACTCGTTGTATTTTAGGTAGCTCAAATAATTAGCAAATTCAATTTTATTGAATTTGAAATTATTACCTAAAATATGAATCATATTTTAGGAAAGTTTTCAAATCCCTTCCTATTTGAATTTTAAATTAAATTGGGATGAAATCTCTCTTCCCAAATTTTACATAAACCCCTCCCTATGCCGCCGGCCCCCATTCAATTTATCTTTGAAATTGTTTCCAAAACTAAAGTTACTCTCTTGGAAATAATTCAAGTCACCCCTTTCTCTCTCTTGGCCGAAAATCCCCAAGGTCCCCACCTCCTTTATTTCTTCATTTTCCCTCCTACGACATTCAAAATTCGTAGTTCTCCCTACCGATTCCTTTGTCTCTAATGCTGCTGTTTGAATTTTATTTTCTAATATCTTTTTCACCATCTCATGAAGATTGGAAATTTTGTCTTCCACTAATGAAATTCTATCTTCCACCGTCGCTTTCATTTGGCTCATCTCCCCTTTGAGGCGTTCTTCCAACGTATCAACTTTATTAGTCGTCATCTATACCCGGATTTTTCTAAGTTCAAAAATCTGGATCTTAACCCAAAAATCAGGAAATATCCCTTTGGCCAAAAATCAGCAACTGTTTTTAACAAAAAAAGCCCACAACCGGTCCCAAAATATGTTATGATACCAATTTGTTAAGAAGTACTCGAAGATCTCAAGTAAACCCTAACAATAGAGACAAAAAACATCAAGAACGATCCACAAATCCAAAGTAAAAATAAGCAAAACATTATTTTTTATTGCAATAATCAAACTAACGGAAGAAAATAGCAAGATACAATTGATCCTCAATTCGAGAGGATCTCTCTCTCCCAATCCCAAGACGCCGCTAGAGCCCAAGACACGAAACTCCAAGAACAAGATCAGCCCAAATAATACCCCTAACCCTAATCCTCTCTTCCTATTTAAATCAAATAATTAAGCAGCAAATATCCAAACAGCCCTCCTCTAATTCACTCCCATTTTCTTAATTATTTCCCTCCCAATTCAGCCCTCAAATCATCCTATAAATCTGTCCTCTTTAATTAGGAAACATTTCCTAATTAATCCTCCCAAATCAACCCACAAATCAGCCCCTAAATTTGTTCTTTTCAATTAGGAAACATTTATTAATTAACCCCCTCTAAATTAGCCCCCATATATGCTCTCTTCATTTATGAAACATCTCCTAATTAATTCCTTTTAATTAATAACCTTCCTAAACAACTCCCTCTTGATTAGTAAATTTCCTCTCAATCAAATTTGGCTGGTCTATCACTATCTTTGATGTTGATTATGTTAGATCAATCTAAAATTGAAAAAATTCATAGCTGTATACTACATATTTGTGGGAGGTAACTCGAACATATGTAAAAATAATAAACAAATAATGGTGTCTAGATCTAGTGTTGAAGCAGAGTACAAAGTTATGACGCACTTTACGTGTGAAATAATGTGTTAATAACCTCTTTGGGGGATTTGTTTTCTTATTATACAACCTATGATTTTGAATTGTGACAATCCTGTTGTCATCTACATCTCTAGTAATCCTTTGTTCTATGAGCTAACAAAACACATTGAGGCTGATTGTTCCTTCTTTTGAGATTCGGTTTTACCAAAGAAGATTTTTATTCTTTTTCAGCTCAGAACAACTAGCTTGTATATTTACCAAGAATTTGGATCAACTTTAATTTTCCATGCAGTGCCGCGAGTTGGATATATATATATATATATATATATATATATATATATATGCTTTGATTTGATGGTGAGTGTTAGCATATGACATGTTGTTTTAGAAACTACTTTATTTATAATTATTAGAGTATGCTTACTTATAACTTTGCTTATTGTATTGACTCCTCTGTTTATAAGAGAGGGATCCTCTATTGAATAATACGATTTAGAAAGATACTTCTCGTCTAACACTGCTAATTGCCAATTTACCAGGAATAAATGACATATAATACCACTTCTATCAATTATAAAGTATAATGCATAATATAAGATTGTCAAATTTTTTTAGTGTTGATTATCTCTCTTATACTTGTGCAGGTTAGAAAGCTTACTCAGCAATTTCCTGCCTCTGTCCCTCTAGCTTTAGTGCTTAAAAAGTTCTTGGCAGATCGTAGCTTGGATCACTCTTATTCGGGAGGATTAAGCTCATATTGCTTGGTCAGTCGCACCTTTTTTGTTTTTTAATTTAATGTACTTATCTTTTTTGGCTTCTTTATCTGGATAATGGATACCTTCTCTTTATTTTGTATGAATGTTTCTATGGTTGGATCAAGTTTTAGTCCATATAGCATCTAGGCATTAATGGTGATTAAATTTTGCAGCTTTTATTCCTTGTAGAAAGTTCAGTTTTAGTTCATTGCGAAGCCTTTGTTACAAAAATTTTCTAGTGCAAAAGACGGTGATTGTCTTTTTTTCAAAGGTATTACGGTGTTGAGCTAAACTCTATGGTGCCAGTTTTTATTGTGATCAACCTCAAGTTTAAAACCGAGTGTTACCTCCTGCTTCTTCAGAATTTGTTGCCACATGCAATGATTTTTTCAAAAGCTGGCATGATAGTGATTTTTTGTTTTCCATAGATAATTCAATTTAAGTAATTTTAGATTCAACTTTTCATTGTGCTTTAACAATATTAAATATTTGTCAGTGTCACCAAGATGTTGTTATCATACCAGCATTTGACTGGTCAATGATAAACAGAATTAGAGGAAGAAATAAGAGTATTAAGTTTGATTTGAAATTCTGTTGTCTACTTAATAATGTCCTTTTCCTCTATTTGCTTGTTCTACAGCATTTGTGTAGATGTTTGCTTACCAGCTGCTGAAGACCCAGAGTCAGCTTCTGGCTTTACTCATTGGTCATTTCCTACCACTATCTGAGTACAGCAAAAATAATAATTTATAATCACATCCATAGTAACATATATTTTTAATTTCCATATTTATCTTTGTATTTATTCTATTCATTGAACTTCTGTGAAGAAACATTAAGAGAACTTGTAGATTTTTGTTGAATCAGATGATAACAAAGTGAAGATAAGATAAAAGAGTTGCCAATACTTTAAACTGCTTCATAAAAACATGTTCTTTATAATCTAGAAATTATGAACAATATAACAATGATTAATATCATTTTGCTATTGTAATGCTCAAATTTAAATATAGCACAACTGATATTACAAAACTACGAGTGTTTTTATGCTTCTTTTTCTTTACTATTGAAGCCTTCCTCTACTTGAAGCAAGTTCACAGCAATCTGATACTTAACAACGGAGGTATAGACTAGAACCTCTATTACCCAGCAGCTTTTGGACTACATTTGAAGTCAGTATATTTTTCATTGGATAGTAGTAAATTTATCATGCCACTTCACTGTTTTGGAAATGAGAATTCTAGAAGTACGTCCAATATCTCCAGATTCTAGGTTGGATTTGTAAGACAATACCGGGAGAAGAGAGACAAGAAAGTGAGATATTCGAGATAGGCCCTAGTAGTTCAATTCTTTATTAAATCCATCAAAATAACTGTAGTTGAAGGCTTAGAAGCAGTTATGACATCAGAGTCTAGTAAGATCTCCTGTGCAAGTTTTTGTTCAAACTCATTCTCATGCACAAAGCTAAGCTTAAGATTGATCACATCATGACATTCGTGCTTAACACACAAGAAGGAGATTGCTTGAGTAGATATCAAAGTATATGAACAAGGAAATAAGTTGAGACTTTATTTCTTCAATTTACCAATCTTATTTGACGTTGAATATTTCATCATGAGGCCTAGGTTGACTATGGAATTTATGGGATTTAGGAAAAAAAATGATAAAAAACTGCTTGATTTGGGTGGGCATCACATTGAAGATGAGTGGGTATGGCCATCATGATATGATTAGTTTTGAACATGATACCATTGATGAGAGTATGTACAATTGTGATGATGTGATATATCGAAAACATTATATTGAGGATGGGAATATGCTTATTAATTATGATATAATAATGATCATGACGTGAACTATATTTTTAGTCATTTCAATTTTTGAATAATAAGCATTATAAATATCATGATAAGATGAGCAAGGTTTATGATTTATCATAACTTGATAATATTATATAGATTGCTCATGATAGGAGGTATATGATGCATGTCTAGAGTGCATCAATTTAAGAGTGAGTGCAAGAATAAGAAGGATGAAGGTAACACAGTAGCAAACAAAAGAATTGTGTGCAATGTGCAATATGGTCTCAATTATCCAATTAGGGAGTGGACCAAACGCCATGTAGAGGGAGGTTGCATGAGTAGCGGAGGTATTGGGACCTACTATGTCAAGGGTGAGTGTGTGACAAGCAATGTTGAAAGGTATAGTAGAATAGAGGTTGGATTGTGATCTAGAGAGAGAGAGAGAGAGAAGAAAATTTCATAATAATGAATTTTAACAAGCGGTAAAGGCGCAATCTAATACCAAGGCAAGCACAATGAGTTTTTTTTGGTGTGCGTTCGAAAGATGCAAAGGAGTGGAGGCGCGCGCCTATGTGTAAAGTGCGACATGACTGCCACAAGATGCAAGTTGCAAGGAGCTTTGAATTTAGATTGTGTGGAGCAAGGCCATGTATCATGCAGATGTGCATTGCTGGTGATGTTGGCTACAAGCGACGTAGTGAAGCAGCTGAAGAGTTTGGGAGGGTTATTGGATGCAAGATAAATTACATGGATACTTTCGCGTAGACCTGGTGTGTTTGGGAGTGGGATGGCAGTTGTGATGCAAAGATTAAAGATTTGGATGACGATCACATTTGAAGGCTATATACACGAAGCGATGCATGCAATCAGAGGTTGTGTAGGACGTGTATTAAATGATTCGGCTAAGCAAATTTTTCATCTTAGCCAAATTTGAGTTTATGTGCTTGCAATGATAACCAAGTGTTCAACATCATCTATTAAGAAGTGGTTGAACTATGCACTAGCTTTAATGCACTACTGTTCTCCCTTTTTTATTTTGCCATTTCCTTTTTAAGTTCATTGTTTCTTTAAATGATCTAAAGAAAATTAATGCATTGGTAATCTTGTTAAATTATGTCTCTGAAAGTTTAGAGTGACTTTTGGTGTGTAAAGTTGTAAAATAACAGTTTAGCCATCTCCATTATTGCTAAAAAAGTTATTGATAGTTAGGGGCCATTGATCTGTGATAAATTGTTTTTGATGTTTTTGCAGGTTTTACTAATTACACGCTTCCTTCAACATGAGCACCATTGTGGTTATTATATGAAACAAGTAAACCTTTTATCTGTTATTTTCTTTCTAGAAGCAATCTGTTCTTCTTTCCTAGATTTAGCTCATTTATCATGTGGAATATAATTTATATTCAATATAGTTAATCTCACACTGTGTGATGCTATTGTCAAGTTCTTAGCTTTAGAGTACTCTGCGCTTGAACCTTGTGACTGTATAATTTCAAACTTGCATCATAGAAGGACTTTTGCCAGTTGCCTTTCATTTGGGTTGTTTTGTATTCACGTTTTTAAAATTACCTTTAAGAATTTGAGCAATTTCTTGCTGAAAATGTGGATTTGGATATCTAAATTAGATTGGGCCTTTCTTTCTTTTTTTAAAGATGGCTTCCTCTTGGCTACTTGCATATGCAGAACCTCCCTTATGTGATAAGTTGAGTATTCATATGAACCATGTTTTGTGTTCCCTTGTACCATGAGCCTATTTTTTGCATGATCTTTAACATCGTAATGTCTATAGTTAGCCTATTTTCCATATCAATGCTGGTTAAGAACTTTGGTTTGTGGTTGAAATCAGATGGCATGACCTGTTTCTCAGTTGAGGAGTGGCATTCTAGTTTTGAAACGGGTAAATTTTATAAATATTGGAACATCATTGTTTAGTCTAAATATGGTATCTGATGTGAAACTACTAGGAGTTATTTTAGAAATTAAAGAGAAACGATTAAAGTGTTGCTCGTTACAAATTTAAAGCTAGCACATAAAATTTGAGTTAGGAATTCAAAAATATTAACTTGCTTAGGCCAAAGAGATGCAATTGAGATTAACCAAAACAGTTCATTCAAAATCCAAGGAGAATTAAATGCAAAGTACAAGTAACAAAAACCCAACGTTTAACAACGAGAATTTCACCTCGTGGCCGTCTCACTCAAAGATTGGTAGGCTTTTGGAGGAGATAGAAGATCCAAGCGATGAAGGATGTTACCACTAGAGAGAGGGCGCCGAAGAACTTCGTCGGAGGAAAAGTAGTCGGTGGGGAGGGATGTCGTAAGTGGCCGTCGAGGCTCCAAGTGTACTTTGAAAATTGTCGGTCGTAGATGCTTGCAAGGATCGGGACGACTCTCTCCAAATACTCTTCCACGGTGGTTTCGTCTTCAAATCCTACGTCGAAGCACGGAGACCGTAGGACGTTGATACTTCCGTCGGCGTTAAACACAAGACCCCACTCAAGCTCGGGATCCGCCATGCATTGCTTGGCGTAGGAGGATCTTCTCGGGAAGAGAGGAAGAACCGGTATGGAGAAGGAGAGCACTTGCACTTGATAAGGTGGGAGAGAAGGGATGAGGCCGGCGGGACTCTCAAGGAGAGAGGGTGGGAGTCGGCGGGTGCAAGAGAGAGGGAACTTAGGTTTAGATGTGGGGAGGGATATTTACTAAAATCTGAATTAATCTCAGATTTTCTTAAATTCGGAGGGAATTATTTGAAACCCCTTTCAAATTTCAAACGCAATTAAGGGGAGTTAATGAGCCCTTAATGGAGCCCATCAATAGAGAATGGCCAGCGGCTTATAGAGAGGGGAGGGAGATTTTAAACAAAAGAAAAAAACTGAAATTCATTTCAGTTTTGGAGGAAATTAGGAGGGAAAAGGGTTTGAGATTGGTTTCAAATTGAGGTGTCATTAATGCCTTAATGGAGGCATCAATGTGGCTCCTCAAATGGTGAGGCCGGCGGCATGCTAAGGGGAGAGAGGGGAAAACAAAGTGAATTGGTTTCCAATTTTAGAGCAATGACGTGGAAATAAAATTATAACGATTCCAATTTAATTTAATTTGAATTTGGAATTCGTCATGAAAACTTTCCTAAATTGGAAATCCAAATTAGGAAAGAATTTGAAATTTGAAAAGTCAAATTTCAAAGTTGAAACTAGTGGAAGGAGGGGTTGGATGGGTGAGAGGCTTTGCCAGCAAGTGACCGGCCGTGGCCTTTGGAGTTGGCCGGCGGCGAGCTCTTCTAGAGGCGGCGGCACAGAGGTTTGGGAGAAAGATTGGGGGTGGTAGAGGAAGAAAGTGGGTGAAATACGATCGCGATGATAGAAGAATTAACCACGAATCGAGGACTTTTCCAACGATTGGTGGGTCTTGCGGTTTGCTCCTCCTGAGCTATCTCCCTTCCCTAGCCCTCATGCAAGAAGAAGAAAAGACAAGTAGCAAATTTTCATTCAAACATTCATTAAGCTCAAAATGATACAAGAGACCACTATATATAGGTCTCAACTCATACAAAGCGAAAGTACTAAATTGCCCTCTGGGCTACAATGATAAAATAACTCCCCACAAGGGTAAAATGGGAAAAACAGTAAATAAAACAAGACAATAATAAAATACATCATGACATCTAAATTAAAAGTAGAGGCGCTGAATCGTGGTCGTCGATCTGCGGTTTCGCCGGCGATAAACATGTCGGTAGCGTCTGTCGATGTCCTCATCAGTATCCTTTTGATTCTTTGTAGTTTGAGGTGAGCAATCATCTTATTTTTATTGAAAGTACATAGATTATCTGCTCCCTGGCATGAATCAATAAAACTTAAACAATATATACCAGCTAATTTATCTTCATAGACCGATGCTTGACTGAGTGTGCTGAATGAACATGCAGGTTAAGCTATTTAAGTGTCTTTCAAGGGAATTTTTTGATACTGTGATAACTGTTTGATCTTTCTATTTAGTCGTTTATAACTAGAAAACCAATGGCCAATGCCATATAGCTCTTCTAACTTCACTGCTGAAAACATAAACTGAATAATTCATCTTTCTAATTCACTTTGTATGAACTGTTTGCAGAACCTGGGCAGTCTTTTGATGGAGTTCCTTTACTTCTTTGGGTGAGTATTAGTGGTTTTTGTTTATATTTTTATTTCAAAGAAAATGTTTGGCCTGTTTTGACTAGGGGCATTTCTTTGCTTTCATTAAGTACTCTTCTTCTGAAAGTTCTTCTTTACTGTTAAGGAATGTTTTTGATCCACGCCAAATGGGGATTTCAATCCAAGGAAGTGGAGTTTATATGAAAAGGGAAAGAGGTCTCAGGTTTGAAGTCTCATCAGAGTTTATGTTCAGTTACATCTTAAGCATATTCTGATCATGATAATATGTTGTGTTTCATCTAGCATCGATCCTATCCATATTGATGACCCTCTGATTCCAACCAACAATGTTGGGCGAAATTGCTTTAGGATACATCAATGTATCAAGGTGAGGATTTAAATTTTGACAAAAATTTAAACAGTGAAGATCTCAGTTTTCTATTCCTCTTGTCAACTCACTTGCTTTAGACCTAAATGATGAATTAATGGATTATCTTCATCATCATTAGCATTATCCCAACTAAGTCATGAATTAGTTCATCATGAACTTTTTCTAGAAGAGACCCGATATACAGATTTCGTTGAGTTTTTTTTTCTTGTTTTTTATTTTCCTGGACTTCCTGATTTTCACAGATAAAAATGTTCGCTTTGTTTTGTTGCATGAATCAAAACATCATATTTGTCTCTCTTTTTTTACCTAAGGAAGCCATAAGCCCCAACCCAAATTAAATCAAACTAAAATCCACATCTAACCACTTCAGTCTACTCGGGATCCCTGAGACGAGGCAATCCATGGCTGCTAATCAGATTCCCTGGACACTACGGTCAATGATTGCTAGTGTTGGTAGACTGAAATTTATGGTATACCCGGGACGACGGAACCATGGGATCTTGATCGGGTTTACCTCCATTTCCCCTACTATTGAGACTAAAATTAACTAAAATTTTATTCATCCTTAATCGAGAGTTCTCTCTTACTTCTTAAGAGGGGTAATTAACTATGGGCGCTTGCGCTCATAGGAAGTAAGAACCCCAGATCTATAAACCCTGACACTACCCTCAGGGGAAATATGGTTAATTTCAATCTGACTTAAGGGAAGTGGAATCCTACGGCTGCAAAGCAGGATTCGTACATTCGTTCCATTTTTCTTGAGCCAACAGCGATATTCTCATGCTTGCAACGCCCAAGAGAAAAGCATCATCGCTTGTCTCCCGCCATCTTCGACCTTGCACGATTGTCCAGCACATTGCTTGCTCATGCATGTTATGCTATCCTTGCTCATTGTCCTGCACTCTTCTCTCCTTCTCGGCAAGGGTAAGCATAGTAAAAAAAAATCTTAAGAGCTACAAATGCTCCGTGGGCACTGATCCAAAAGGTTTTTGGAGTGTGGGGAAGTTGTGCAATATTCTTGTGTGTACAATGCCCATGAGAGGGTTCATCGCTCGACTCCACCTTCCCTGACCTTGCGTGGTAGTCTAGCATGATGTTTGCTTCTAGGAAGCTGCTCGCACTTGTATCTCCATTTCAGTTAGGATAAGCATAGTTTTAAAAAAAAAACTTAAAAAAACCCATAGAGTTAAGTAATCCCAAAATTCGTAAGAGTTACGTATACTTTATGACTTTTTTCACTAATTCAGTAGGGTTTTCTAGTGTGGAGAAGCTGTGTGATATTCTCCTGCATGCAGCCCAATAGATGAATTTGCGTTGCTTGTTTCTTGCCTTCTCTGACATTGTGCGGTAACCCATCATGCTCTTTCATGTGAAGCTACTCTCGCTCCTTGTCTTGTGCTTATATCTTTGTCTCAGCTAGGGTAAGTGTAACAAAAAAACTCCCAAAAATTCTAATAGTTACGCATGCTTCTTCAGGAGTTCTACACTTGTCCAATACTTTCTATTAATTTTAACCTTCAATTTGCACCATTAAACCATTCTGGTCTCTGTTAAAGGAGTTTTAAGGACAAAATTGAATCTTTTACATAATCTGAGACTATTTTGGTGGGATCATTTTGATTCTCTTCTTTCAAAATTTACAATGATTTGGCCCAATTCAAATAAAAGGAATGAATTTGTATTGGCTCAAATTGTTTGAAAAGTAAACAAAACTTTTTGTTTCATTTTAACGTCATTGTTCTCTTACGCCTTGATTTAACAGGCTTTTGCTGATGCCTACACTGCACTGGAAAGTGAGCTCTCGCTATTTTCTGATGAATATATTCCAAGTTCAGCGCCATCATTTAGGCTACTCCGAAAGATTGTACCAAGCATTGATTGAGGAATAACCTTTCACAATGGGACTATTCTCATGTCCAGATCGGCTGCTATTATTTTGGGAATATTTTAAGTATGATTTCTGATTAACTCGCTTGAGTATATGGTATAATGGTTTTTTCTGTTTGTTTGCTACCTACAGTAACACTTGTACTAAGGTATAAGTCTATCCCATCCACATACCGCTCTAAAATAACTAATGGCTATCCATGATCTCTGTAGTTTAAAAAACTTTTAAAATAGTTTTGTTTTCTTAACAATACAGACCGGTATGGGGAAGCTGTAATTTGGAGCTGGAAGACTGGTCCAGGTAGTTTGCTAGACAACCACTAATGGGAAATACAAGTTTACCATGATAATCATGCTTTTGAAGACCATCTGATTTATTTTTTCTTGGTGTCAATCAAATGGCATAATCCATAACTTGAATGGCCGGGCTCGTGTGGGCATCATTTGGGATGTTTGATAATCCGTCTGGCGGATTAATGTATGCTTTAATTATATGGCACATTTTCGCACGAACCTTCTGAAATCTTTGTAGCATGAAGAGAAAAATATGCAAATTCTCATTCTGTTTCTCGTGGTCAGAAGCCATTCCTGGGTAAGCAGATGGAGTAGGACAAATAAAAGAGTCCTTAATGTCACGGATATAAAGATATGTTTGAAATTATGGATTTTCATGTTTTTAACCTCCAATGAAATTCTTGAAGAGCAAGTGGTCTATACATTACATGGGTATTGTTCATTTCGTGAACTATATTTGCTGGATGTGATCTCTAGCGCTGTAGTAGCATTTGGCCCCGCTTGCAAACTAAAACGACAGGTATGTTTGTATGCTTTCATTTTTGTAACTTGAGTTCAAACTTTTTCCTTTAGAAAACTTTATTACTTGTACAGTTGTAACTTATCAAAAGGAATATTGTGTTATATGGAAAGTAAATATCATACGGGTTAATGCTTGTTTATTATTATCAACCAGGAAAACAGATTCTGAACTGAATTTTTCTTTGTTACTTGAAAAAACAAATTGGTTCCTTTTTGCTTTCTAGGGAGGAGAATTAACTAAAATTTAGGCTTCGTTTGGGACGGCTTTTTTATTGCTTTCTAAAACGGAGTTTTACTACAAATTTTTTTATTTTTTATTAAAACTCCTTTTTAGAAAACAATAAAAAAACCGTCCCAAACGAAGCCTTAATCTACTAATGCAACCATATTAAAGTAGGCGTACTTGGCAGAGTTTTGCGAACTGGAATTTTGCTATTCTTCTGCAGGCAATTTTTGTGTTCGATAGGTAGACCTATTTGATAAATTGATAGTAACTAAAATTTTGTTTGATACAATGAAGCTAACTATTTCAAAATAAGTAACAAGCATCATCCAAAGTTCATTCATTGTGTTATTTAGCACTGAAAGAAATTGAATGGATCATACTTTTCCCTAAGGAAACTAATATGATAAGTAAAATTGCTCAAATAAAAAGCTTGATTATTTTCTTTAATTTAATGCTTTGATTGAGTTGAAGAAAATCTTTAGTTATTAGGGATCTTATTGATTTAAATATGAAATGCGTGAAGCTTATTTTGCTAAACAAACAAAAAAAAAATTGTAATGATAAAGTTGCATAAAAAATACGAGTTAATGGAGAACCTTGTGTAATTGTTGGTACCTTGAGATATCCAGTAGTTATAGCAGTTGTATAGTTTGAATATGAGAATAACTGGAGGGTTTTGTAATCCTTAAGGAATGCTTTGGAGTTCATTCCACTAACAATAATACATGGCAAACAAAAAGTTTTGCTACTAACAACAATGACTACTTATCCTTTCTTTTGTGATTATTTTTTATTGAAGGTTAAGATGATCCGACCAGTCTGGTTTCCACATCCCAGTCAAACATATTGTAGCAGACAAGTTCTCAGTAAATTTAAAAAAGTCATTTTCTGGTTTGAGGTAAGGAAGCATTCTTGGAATGCAGCCAAGACATGGTAACCTAGGATTCTACGATAATGGGTTTGGTGACTCCAGAAACAAAAGATAATCGATGTGAATGACAGTACTATTTATTAGTGACACAGAACTTGAAGTTATTGATAAAGGCCACGCTTTGTTATTTTTCTGATTATTGAGAAGCAGGGTTGTGAATACAAAATCCTGGAGATGGATGAAATTAAAAAGTCTCTCTTCTCACTTTTGGAAGGATTCTGCATAAAGAGTTTACGAGAAGGCTTATGAAGTTATTAATTCATTTATGCTGATTTTAGAAACATGATAGGTGAAGGGGAGAAGGCATGACAGATGAAGGTACTAATTTGTTTTTGGCACAAGTAGCAGGTCAGGGCGTACTAAGGTCCACCTGTGAAGATAGTAAGATCAAGAAGATTGTTAAGGTAAAGTTTCTACTTGCCATTTTACCTATTTTCTATAATCTAGATTAAGTATTGGTTTTGCATTGCAGGAAATCAGTGAAGGGGAAATACTTGGCCGCTGTAGAGCATGCTGAGTGAAAGCAATAAGATACCAAGTAGACTTTTCAACTTACGATAATAGGAAAAATGATAGGCCGATGGTGGAAGGAAATGATAAAGACATGCCTGAATAAATGATGGAAGTATCTATGAAAGAAGAGAAGGACATACTTGAAGAAACCAACTCGCATCAGTGAACATAATAAAGAGGTAAAGAGAAGAGATGATGAAACTATTTGTGGTTTGCAGACTAACTTCTGTAACAGTACTTGTTTACATTGGCTGTGTTAAACCATCATTGCCTTTTCTTAACACGTAAGAACTACATATGTATTGCTATGTTTGCTTACTGTTCTTATTGATGCTTCATCATTTGTGAGAGATTCTTCATCAAAATAAATAAATGCGAGTGAAGAGTTTGAAAGTTGCATCCATATAAACAACGATAATAACAACATTAAGGCTTTATTTGAGACATTTTTTTATTGATTTTTAAAGCAGTTTTTTATACAAAATTTTCTTTTTAAAAAAAATTTGTATAAAAAAATTGCTTTAAGAAGCAGCAAAAAAATCGTCCCAAACAAAACCTAAGTCTTTTTCTTGTTATGTGGGGTTGGTTATATATATATATTCTTATTAAGAGTTAAATTTTCATTTAAATTTCAAAGAAAATAAATGCGAGTGATGATTTTGAAAGACGTATCTATCAATTGATAATATTGTTTAACAAGCGAAGTGCCAAAACGTTACAGACGATTTCATCACAACCATATTTTCTTGTATACCTTGGAGGTTCATGAAACAATTATATATATTGCATTACTATTTTACGCAACAATATCCAAGGCGAAGCTGTGTGAGCTGTTTTCATTGCAATTTGCAAGGGACTGTACAGGTTCGAGCCATAAATACTGAAGACAATTTGTGCAGTTCAATTTTAAATTTATTCGACCGTTGGAAAAATAAACTAAACGTAAAAAATAGAAGACTCAAAATATGAGGTCAATTGTTGTATTGTGAAAAAGATGTTATCTTAATTAAAGACATTTGTTTTGATCAATAATATCAAAGAATAGTGTTTCATTATACCACTTAATGGTAGAAAGAGATGATGATCTATCTAATCTCAACTCCATTAAATTACATAAAGATTCAAATAAAAATTTCTATCAAATTCGTTGAACCAATCACATCTCAAGACAATCAATACAAATCCAATGATGTGATATTTATATATATATGCACAATAGTTATAATGCATTATATTATAAGATATGGTAGATATGAGAACCTCATCCATGTTGGCTATCTTATACTCTTAAGAAACTTTAGAGGATAAAAGGCATGCATATTATCAAATAATCCTAACATATTAAGCAACATTACTCATCATTGATTGTAGTGTCCATTCTAGTGTTCAAGAAGGGTCAGAGTGTTAGATCAGGCAGCCCGTCCTACGGGACCGGACCGTGCGAAACAGACGGAGAATGTCTGCCTCCTGTATGCATTGATCGCAGGCCAAGGCCAAAGTGCACTGTTTTGAAAGGATTTTTGAGGTAGTTAGGATGGAAATTTGAATGTATAATTTGTTTAGTGTTTTCCTTTTGGATTTTATGCATTAAATAGTTTGTTTTTCTAGGGTTAGGACATCTTGAATTTGGCTAAAATTTAATATCTCTTAGTTTCTTTGGGTTCTAGCGGCATCTAGAGATTTAGGAGAGAAAGATCCTCCTCTAGAATAGAGAATCAATTGTATCTTGGTATTTTTGTCCATATCTTTGATTATTACAATAAAAAGTAGGGAAATTTACATACATACCACTATATACTTAATATTTTACATATCTAACACCTCATACATTAATATTACATACATACCACTTAAATTCCTACTTTATATCATTTCTACCACTCCATCTAACGCCTCCTCACGACGTTTCTCTCCTTCCGAACGACGTTGCTCTGCCTTATTGCTGGACGGCGTGAATCTGAGAGTCGGTTAGGGCAGAACTGGAGGAATCGGAGCTTGCAAAAGGGGAGGAACGTAAGCTCTCATGCATTCTCTCATTTTTGTTCAAAATAATTTGTTTTGCTCGGAGACTGGCTTCCTGTCCGTCAAAAAAGATGAGTTTCGGTAAAAATTTTCGGATCTTGTTCAAATTTGACGGATTTCGTTCAAATCTCGGAGACTGGCTTCTTGTTTTGCTCAATTTTTTTCAAAATGATTTGGTTTGTTGTTCGTCACCTACCCGCTGATTTTCTTAAATATTGCCAGACCTCCACTCCTACACTGTTTATGGCAATCTCTTTTTTATTTGTAAAAAAAAAAAAAAATTATGTTTGTTTATCCACAAAAGCTACAATGGCACAAATAAAAATTTCTGTTTTATTTGTCTCCTCACTTTTATTTCTGTTTTAAAATTTTCTGTTTTATTTTTTAAAAAATTTCTGTTTATCCACAATATCTAACAAAAACTCTTCAAAAGTCTGTAGCAGTTCTTATTAGTGCCATTGTAGCAACCCTGAAGGAAATACGGCGGAAGACATTACCGTGCACAACAATGCAATCAGGAACTGTTTCGACTTCGGTGGAAAATACGAGACGTCCGAAAAAAGGAAATATGATGAAGACAGCTTATGCAAATGTTTATAATTACAGAACAAAGCAAGCAAGGTCTCACAGATGTTCGGCGGAGAGTGAGACTTAGCGGCAACAGGTATTTCGGCGGGAAGAAATACTTCCGTCAGTCCATCACAGGTATTGGGCGGCAAGGAGAGAAACGTCGTGAGGAGGCGTTAGATGGAGTGTTAGAAATGATATAAAGTAGGGATTTAAGTGGTATATATGTAATATTAATGTATGAGGTGTTAGATATGTAAATTATTAAGTATATAGTGGTATGTATGTAAATTTCCCTAAAAAGTATTGTTTTTCTTATTTTTGTTGAGTTCTAAAGAGTTTTTCTCACTATTTTTTCAAAATTGATAGGAAATAATTTAAAACTTCAAGTGTTTCCTATCACAGAGTTAAACAATGTTATGATTTGCATGGGTTGTAAACAATTTACGTATCAACCAATATATTTTATTGAATTCATAAAAAAAAATTTACAAGTTTGTGATTAGAGCTGCAAATGAACCGAGCCGAGTCGAGTATGTGAGTGCTCATGTTTGTGTTCATTTAATATCAGGTTGTTCAAGTTTTATTGTTTGTTCGAGCTTTATTGTTTGTGTTCATATTTGGTTCATTTAAATTAACGAATGTTCATGTTTGGTTCATGTTCGTTCGTTTAGTGCTTCTCGAGCTTTAAATAAACAAACATGAACGAGCTATAAACGAGCTTTACTTTTAGATGTTCACTAACTTAACAAACAAGCTTTATCGAGCTTCCTAACAAACGATTACATCGAGCATGTTTGCGAACATATTTAACGAATTTTTTTAACTATAAAAAAAACGCATTAATGAACATATATATCAACAAACACATTTATAATAAAATCAATTGTTTATGTAACAAAGGAAATGAATTATAAGCAAATTTCATCTTCACATAATTTTCCTAACAACATCATTAAAAAGGCAATGATTTATAAATAAATAGTCATATAAAGCTACAATTACTTAAACAGCAAGTTAAGTAATATTTGATACCTGCAGCAACCACACGAATCGAGCTTTTATCGAGCTTCTTATCGAGCTTAATGTCGAGTTTGTTCACGAACTTCAAATGATGTTGTTCGCGAACATAAATGAACCGAACGCATTAGTGTTCAAGTTTGTTTATTTAAGAATCGAGTATTTAAAATATTGTTCAAGTTTATTTGTTTAGTTAATTAAACGATCACAAACGAGTTTTAATCGAACCGAACTACGAGTAGCTCGTCGATGTTTGGTTCGCTTGCAGCCCTATTTGTGATATCTTGAGGCTTCATGAGTTTTTTTTCCTCTCCAATGGTACATATCAATTTTAATGCAAATTTTGAATATGCTTAATAATAATATAATTACTTTTTTAAATTATTAGCATATTGCGTATAATTAAGTAGATTCGAGATTATTAATTAACCATGTTCATATTAAAAGTAGCCCGAGCCTGATAAAAAAGATAGTCTAGGTTATTTTACAGCGCGATAACGAGAGTAACCTCCAGAGTGCAGAATCGGCACCGCATCTCCTGGGCATGGCGACGGCCGGCGAAGGCTCAGACAAAGCGCCGGCAAGGAAGCCGGCGGGTGCCAATGGAGTATCGGATGAGGCGAAGCGTTTGGTAGAGTACGCCATTGGCGAAGCTATTAGATTTAAGCAGGCCGTCTCCGCGGCCACCGATGCCGCCGTATTTTCTGCTCGTTCAGGCCTTTCTCAGGTTATTTCTGCATCTTCAGACAGCCTTCAGGAAGCACAGGTATTCCCTTTCACCCATTTTTTCGGTGTTTTCGCTGGATTGTTAGTGGTATTTTTGGTGGGTTCGCAGGGCTTGGTGAAATGGGTGAAGAGCGAGTACACTGCATACGAGGATTTGTCTGTTGAGAAGATTAAGGGTTTTTTTTTTTTTTTTGGCTTAGCCCTTCCCTTCTCATAATCAGTTTGTGGACTTTGCTAAAATTTTAATTTTTTTTATATTCCCAGAGGGTATTTATGTTGCAGCTTGTCATCCGGGCATTTCTCTTGCCGTTGCAGGAGGAGTGGGGCTTGTAGTATTGAAGAGTAATATGCTGTTCTGTCTATTGGGCTGTACCATTTTTTTCCATTTTCCTTAAGTTAATTTGCTGCAAAATAAGGTGGTGGATTCGAGCAAGAAAAGCAATTACATGTGATAAAACTCCCTATTTATCTTATAGAAGATTATTTATTTCTTTATTTTTTATTATTATTATCTGAATTTGTTCTATTCCACATACTGTTTTAGATAATATGGAATTTTCAAACCATTTTTTTAGCTGTTTTCTCTAATTTCTTATCATGCAGGACCTAGAAGTTTTCTAATACGGAATACAAGGCGGTTATTTTTGAGTGAAGAGGTTCGTTTATTTATAAATTTTTTTTGGTGGTTTATGTTCTATAATTTTCAAGTTTGTGAAAATTGAACCGGACAACTAACCGGAAGAAAGAGAGGTTCATGGTTTGATGGTTCAGCTGGGCTTGAATGGATGTCGAATCAGATAATGCAAGAAATAGAAATTTTATGAAAAAAAAATAAAATTAACATTTTATACTTTAAAGAGTACATGTTGTGTATACATGAATTTTCCTTCTCATTGTGAGAGGCATTGTTTGAGTGGAATGCATCCAACACATTTTAACGTTGTGCTATTGGTGTTTAAGAAGTGTCAAACAAGCGTTCGATAAGGGTCAATTTTGAAAAAAGAAGGATAAGGGACCAATAGGGTGTACAATAGTGCTTTATAGATAGTAATTTAGATTTTTCCTTTATATGTACTATGAATGATGGATTTTGAATTAGAAGTTTGGCAAGCATTGCATACATCTTATACTTTTATGCTAAATGGGGAGATCTCCAAGGAATTATTTAGGCATGTAGTTTATATTTAATAATATTTATATTCAACTCCCTCTCTAGTCTTATCAACAAGAAGAATATCATCAGCAAAAAGCATACACCAAGGTACATCCTCTTGCAAATGTCTAGTGAGAACATCCATGACTAAAGCAAAAAGATATGGGCTTAAGGCTGATCCTTGATGTAACTCAACTGAAATAGAAAAATACTTGGTCAATCCACCTTGTGTTTGAACACAAGTAATAGCTTCTACATACATATCTTTAATGATTTGAATATAAGCATTATTGACTCCTTTCTTTTCAAGAACTCTCCATAGCACTTCTCTTGGAACTTTATCAAATGCTTTTTCTAAATTAATAAATATCATATGTAGATCCTCCTTGTTTTCTTTATATTTCTCCATCAAACCTCTTAATAAATGTATGGCTTCCATAGTCGACCTACCCGGCATGAATCTAAATTGATTTTGAGAAACATCAGTATCACGCCGCAGCCTATGCTCCATAACTCTTTCCCATAGTTTTAAAGTATGACATATTAACTTAATACCTTTATAATTCGCAGAATCTTGTGCATCACCTTTATTCTTAAAAATAGGAATTAACACACTCATTCTTCACTCATCTGACATTTTTTTAGTCTTCAAAATAGTATTAAAAAGTTTAGTAAGCCATGAAATTCCTTTATCTCCTAAGCATTTCCACACCTCTATTGGAATATCATCAGGTCCAACAGCTTTTCCACCCTTCATTTTCTTTAAAACCTCTCTAACTTCAGTTTTACTAATATTTTTACTATTAGGAGCTTTTCCCTTTGATACTCCAAGAACATCTTTTACAATATTCTTAATATCACTAGCCACTTTTTCCCACATAGCATTAGCATCCTCATGCACAGACAAAATCTTAAGATCTAAAATCTTATTCACAAAAATATTTTTGTTAATATTCTTTAAATGCCCCCATCTAATCCTTGAAAATCGTTTTACTTTATTTTTTATTTTATGCCCCTTTATCTTAAAGTCCAAAACTAATAATCGATGTTAGGTACATAAATTTTCATTCGGAATAACTTTACAATCTTTGCAATCTAAACGATTTAATTTTCTAATAAGAAAATAGTCAATCCGGGTTGTACTATGTCCATTTTTATAAGTGATGAGATGCTCATTCCTTTTCTTAAATAAAGTATTAGCAATTGAAAAATCATAAGCTAAAAAAAAATCCAATATGGTCTTGCCACATTCATTCGTCGTTCCAAATCCATGGTCATCATGAATGCTTTTAAAATTATCTACCTCTCTACCAACATGTCCATTTAAATCTCCTCCAATAAAAACTCTTTCTTCAAGAGGTATGTTTTGTATTAATTCTTTTAAGTCATTCCAAAAATTTAATTTAGAACTCATATCCAAACCTAATTGAGGAGCATAAGCACTTATAATATTAACAATCTTATCATCAACAACAATCTTTAAAGCTATAATTCTATCTCCAATCATATTAATGATAAAATAGATAATAATATTTTTATATTATCTTAGACTCTGCATGTCATAAATTTAGTTAACTATTTAATTTATTTGAACATCTTTATTCAAGATTATTTATTTACAAATATTTTTGTTCTTCGAATGCTAAAAAAATTTTAAATTATTATTTTGCTTAACATAATTTAATGTGCTGATTATAATTTGATAGTCTTCAAAAGTATTCATCATGATTAAAATACATCTATTAAGTGATAGCTATAGCCTTTTTCATGCCCCACTTCATTTGGGCGAACAACTAGGGTGGCTTCTAGTGTATTAGGTGTCGGACCACCACATTGCATGAAGAGTGATTATCGTTGTTGATAATGTTGGACAACCACATTGCTTGAAGAGTGGTTATTGTTGTTAACATCAATAGATATAAGATATGTATGCCCCAATATGCATTTCTAGGAGAGTTGATGAATAATCCCAGTTACTCTCCCGGTCAACAAGAGTAACTCTCCCCTGAATATATCAAGAGATAGAGACTTTGTCTGTCAAGTTGTTGAATAATCCCAGTTACTCGTCCAAGAAAGCTATCTACATGTACTCATCAGAGTTCTGACCATTATGTACACATGTCTATAACAATCATATCATGTATTTTTAAAATTATATTTTATATAGGGCTTAGATGTTGCTGCTCTCATAGCCTTCAGAATCCTACAAATATAAGGTCAAAGGACTATTTTCGGGATATGTATTGTCATCTGGGTCTTTTATATCAGTTATAGAATCCTCAGAGTTTTTCTCTCTAGAATTTCATCTCTCTGTCTTTTTCTCTTTCTTTTCCTCTTTCTCCATTGGCTGTTTTGTAGATATCTTGCGAGTCCTGTAAGTAGGGCTCAAGCGTCATCCCATACAAATTTGGATCAAACATCTTAAAATGTGTGATGAGCATGTATTGGTGCAAAGAACTAAATACCAGGCACTATGAGAAGCAAAGCATCCAAACAGAGAAACATATGTGAACATGAATAATCAAGAGCTTGCAATTAACAGGTAGCTTATGGAGGCAGAAGAGAGGATCACTAGGATGATCCAAGGAGCCATAATGCTGGCTCCCAAAGCCCAAGGGTGGAAATGCCAAATATATTCTATTATTTTGAGAACACGGGTAGATGTTAGAGATTTTCCCTATACATCCTTGCGATAGATGAAACTTATTGCCCAACAATAATGAATGGTCCACTCTCCAGCCTAGGCAAGTTAAAAGACCAAGGCTCCAATTGAAAAACGGGTTTTGCAAGGAGATTACTGAAGTTAAGCCCCCAACCAAGTTCAAAATATCTTACATAAAATCATTTTTAAGGGAGATGAACCCAACTAATCATGTGTCCTACTTTAAGTTGGACACCTCACTACTTTACATCAGGGACATTTTGAAATTTCGCTTGTTTTTTACCACCTTCAAGGAATAACCTCGCATGTGGCTCTCACGCCTTCTACTGGAGGTCATAATCTCCTTCATCAAGTTCAAATGGATGTTCATCATTAGCTTACAAATGCTTAGAAGCCCTCGAAGAATTTGTTGGTTCTTTTGAAGATGATGCAAGAGTCAAACGATTCCCTTCAAAACTTCATTGTGAGGTTGCATAGAACAATGCTGGAGATCAAAGACCTGGAACCTATAGTCGCCTACCTACCCTTACCCAAGTTCTGTGGGGAGGCCCATTCAGATACACACTTGGTTTACATCAACAGAAGGATATTGGAGAATTTGTTGAAAGTCATTAATATTTATGTCAATGCCAAAGAGTACAACAAAATAGTAGAATCTTTTACCTTAAGTCGTCCAAAAGATCCTCCAACAAGTCCAGACTTCTAGTGGATTATGGGCATGGACATAAATTGCTTTGAGATCCAGGAGTGGAGAGAATTCTACATTTCCAAAAAATCACCCATATTATCATCAAATGGTGCGTCCTGAAAGTGTTGATGATCATTGGCCCGCCAATCATTTGAAATGAGGAGGCATCAATCCCACTTGAAGATATAGTGAAGATTGGCCACTTCCTGTTCATCACTGCCTAACAATCACCCCAATGAGAGTGTCAATGGCTTAGTTCATAGAGGGTATACAAAATAAGGATTTCTTCAAATGCTCAACACTCATGAGGGTGTGGGTCAATGCGCGGGCGCATCCTAATATTGTGCTTTTTATAGAAACCATGAACAAGATAGTATATTGCCGTCATATTAGAAACTTGATGGAAGAGTTGATCAAGGAAAACTAAAGGAATTTGTACTTGCTGATACAATTGGAGTGTGATGGATAAACGTCACACCCTCTTAGCTTGGTATTTATCCTTCAGCTTGCAGAGAATATTAAGGTTTTTTATATTTATGCTTTGTTGATTTATTGGGTGTTGAGAATGGCTGAAGCTGCGCCCTGTTGGCTTGAATTCCATGTCCCCTCCACATAGGATTGACCTCTCATATATAGATAGGCCACATTAGAGCTTTTTCACTCTGGATTTTTTGTTTTGTTTAGGATCCTTCTTTTGCTCTTGTTTATAACTTTTCTTTGTATATCGACTTGTTTCTGCTTTCTCATTTATAAATTAGCTGGGGTCCATTGCCTGAGCATCAATAGATTTTACAGAAAGAAAAGACTAGAGGGTAGTGTATGCAAGAAGAGATGTAGAGAAGGTGGCGATTAACGATTCTATGATTATGTCAACTGATTTTTGGCCTTGTATGCTGAACTCCTTTCTAGTCTGCATTTTACTTTTGCAAAAATGTAAAACGTACCTAAATGTTATTGATGATGCTTATAGGATCTATTTTTATTTCTATGTAAGATTATGCTAGGCTTCAGACTTCTGCGCTTTAATTTATGATGCTTGACTTTAATTTATGATGTCATATTTTTTATTTTTTGCAGAAATGATGGCATAGTCCACTTTGATCACACACACGCTTAACTTTTTTTTTTGCATTTATCTCTAGAAAAAGATGGCCATAGTTTCGTAGCTCTGAGAAACATAGTTTTTTTTGTCTATGATCTGTGAAGCTGACATAAATGCTAGTCTTTTGACGCAATATAATATTTTTTTTGCAGTCAATGCTTGCTGATGCTGAATCAAAAGTAAATGATTTGCGACAATCAGTCAATCTCGTGAAGAATGAAAGCAGAAAGTTGGGGGTATTTCCTCATTAGCTCGCCTTCTTGTTGTTGATTTTAATGGTTTCCTTAGTGGTTGAATTGCTCAAGTATTCTATGTACAACAATAATTGTAAATTGATTAGCTATGCATTCATTTTTTCATGATAGCCTGTCAATTAATAATGGAAATGCCTTCCACATTAATGGACTCTGTTTCTTAATAACTTGATACATTTATGTTGAAATATCAGGGATAAATCAAAATATTTTGTTTTCAATAAAAAATCATCGATTTACCATCTTTAGGGGCTTTCCAAAGCTATTTAAGGCTATTAAAGGTGTCATATATGCTACCTTAAGGTTAATCTTGTTGCCAAACACTACGCTCAAATTTATGTTTAGATTATAGCTATATTTTCTTACCAGAGGTTGAGATTTCTTATGTTTGCTTGTCCTTATCAGTGGCTCCTGTGCATCATTGGCTTATTTATGAATTGCTTATAAAAAATGCCATACTCCGAGGCGTATATGGAGTAATTGCATGATTTTGTGCCCAAGGGGAGTTTGGGCTTCATGCAACTCAAAAGATCTCTCCATGGCTTGGAAATGTCTTCATGAGCATGGTGATGCATACAAAGGGGGGGTCAAGACAAGTTAGATTTTATTTTGATGAATTTTGGGTTCTCTACTAGATTCAGCTCATTAATGTCTAGTAGAGAACCTTTTTTAGCTCATAAATTGATGTTTATTCCCCCATGTGTTGTCCCTTTGGTTTCCGTGGATGGCTCCTTAGTTCCCGTGGCTTGACCCTTTGGTTCCCGTGAATGGCTGCTGGGTTCCTGCGCCTTGGCTCTTAGTTTCCTGTGGCTGGCTCTTGTTTTCTTGTGCCTTAACCCCTTGTTTCCTGTGCTGTTTTCGGGTCTCTAGCTGGGTTGTTTTCCCGAAGCAACCAGAGGGCTCTTCCCGAGGATTTAATGCCCTGTTTCTTGTGCAATGTTGGGCTGCTGTTTGAAGATTTTTGGGCTGCTATTTGAAGAGATTTTGGGGCTGTTTTTGGACAGTTTTTGAGACTGATTTGGTGGCTGTTTTGGGAGGAATTCTAAGAGACTTTTGCTGATTTCTGTGCAGTTTTTTACTGCAGTTTTTAGGTGTCTTTTGGCCTTCTATCTTCCTATTTTAATTAGCTTTTAATTAAGTTTTAGTGGCGGTTTGTATTCCTTCTTTTGTGCCTATAAATAGGAGTTGTTTGTGGCTGTTTTAGATATGTTATGTGATGTGATTTTTGGAAACATAAACCTGCGGGTTTCATTGGAAAAGCTTGCGAGCTTTGTCCACTTCTTCTTCTCATCCCCTCCGGAAATCTTGCGAGCTCTTTCCAACCTTTCGTCTTGGCTTCTAACCTCTTTCGTCTCTCCGCAAGCGTCACTCCATCTATATCATTCTTCTCAAAGTAAGCAAGTTTAGGGTGTCATTTTGTTTGAGTCATTTGTAAGAGTCAAGGGTTGTAATGTCATGTTATGTTGAAAGTCAAGTTTGTAAGAGTCTTTATTTATAAAAGTGTTCGTTTATATGAAATGTAAGAGTTGTTCTATTATCTCTAAGTTATCTCTTCTTTTTGAGGTATTTTGTGCCTTCTTTTATATAGGAAGTCATTTTCTTTTTGTGATCAAAAAATATAGGCTCCCCTATATTTTTTTATTGTATAATTTGGCATCAGAGCAAGTTGGGAAGTCCTAAGGTTTGGTTGTCAAATTGAGTTGTTAAGTCTGAGTCTGTCAAGTTTGTTTTAGTTTGTCAAGTCAAGTCTTGTCATGTCTTAAGTGTCTTGTGAGTCTTATGAGTCGTGTGTCATGTTAGTAAGTTTTGTTTTGATTCATGTTGTTATTTGAGTCTTAGTATCAAGTGAGCAATCTCAAGCCTTGGTGTCTCTTGATGCAACGCCTTCAGAACAAAGCTAACTCATCAGGAGATGAGTTTTTCAAGAAGGGGAGTATCTGATGCATACAAAGGGGGTCCCTAGATTTTATTTTGATGAATTTTGGGTCCTATACTAGATTCAGCTCATTAATGTCTAGTAGAGAACCTTTTTTAGCTCATAAATTGATGTTTATTCCCCCATGTGTTGTCCCTTTGGTTCCCGTGGATGGCTCCTTAGTTCCCGTGGCTTGACCCTTTGGTTCCCGTGAATGGCTGTTGGGTTCCTGCGCCTTGGCTCTTGGTTTCCTGCGGCTGGCTCTTGTTTTCCCGTGCCTTAACCCCTTGTTTCCTTTGCTGTTTTCGGGTCCCTAGCTGGCCGAAGCAACCAGGGGGTTCTTCCCATGGATTTAATGCCCTATTTCTTGTGAAATGTTGGGCTGCTGTTTGAAGAGATTTTGGGGCTGTTTTTGGACAGTTTTTTAGACTGATTTGGTGGCTGTTTTGGGAGGAATTCCAAGAGACTTTTGCTGATTTCTGTGCAGTTTTTTACTGCAGTTTTTAGGTGTCTTTTGGCCTTCTATATTCCTATTTTAATTAGCTTTTAATTAAGTTTTAGTGGCTGTTTGTATTCCTTCTTTTGTGCCTATAAATAGGAGTTGTTTGTGGCTGTTTTAGATATGTTATGTGATGTGATTTTTGGAAATGTAAACCTGCGGGTTTCATTGGAAAAGCTTGCGAGCTTTGTCCACTTCTTCTTCTCAATTCTCATCCCCTCCGAAAATCTTGCGAGCTCTTTCCAACCTTTCGTCTTGGCTTCTAACCTCTTTCGTCTCTCCGCAAGTGCTACTCCATCTGTATCCTTCTTCTCAAAGCAAGCAAGTTTAGGGTGTCATTTTGTTTGAGTCATTTGTAAGAGTCAAGGGTTGTAATGTCATGTTATGTTGAAAGTCAAGTTTGTAAGAGTCTTTATTTATAAAAGTGTTTGTTTATATGAAATGTAAGAGTTGTTCTATTATCTCTAAATTATCTCTTCTTTTTGAGGTATTTTGTGTATTCTTTTATATAGGAAGTCATTTTCTTTTTGTGATAAAAAAATATAGGCTCCCCTATATTTTTTGATTGCATCACATGGTTATGGAGATTCAATGCTGTTGTTCAGGAGTTTGGTATGATTAGTTTGTGAGGCAAATCACTGGATTATCTATCGTCAAAATTCTCATGATTGGTGTATCTAGATGGTATAGTTAAGTGATCATGAATGTATTTGTCAGTTTAAACAACATCTCTTCAGTCAATTTCAGACCAAATTTTTTTGAAAACATATTATGAGAATTGAGTTTGTGATGTGAAACGACCAGGAATTATGAGGAAATAATAAAACTTTTGTTAGCGCGCTACTTTACGGTTAATGAATTGCAAGAAGTAATTTAAAGAACTATCCATGAAGTCTTATTCTAGTAAGCAGTTGCAATTTAGAAGGGTAAGTCATTTTAAAACAAAATCGGTAAATTTCAGTAAAGTCAAATGCACTCATAATAATAATCCATAGGTTAATATCAAGAGCTTTCACCTCGAGTTCCCTTTTCTCTCACTCACGCTCTATGGGAATTATTCAACGGAAAGAGATCTTTTGCAAACCAAGCGATGCCACTAAGAGGATGACGACGCCGACGATCTTGATTCACGGGAGAGTAGCCGGAGATGGAGGTATGGGTGGATGTCCCACGAATTGCCCTTGGGAATTGCAAATGAATTCGTGGACGATTTTCGGATCGGCCAAGCACTAACAGACGTGGAAAGAGAGGAAGTGTCTTGTCTTCTTTGCTTTAGGATTCATGCGGGCTTGAAGCTTCCAAGAGAAATTTGGGGAGGGGAAGTGGGCGACCAAAGAGAGAGGGGAGATTGAGGCTTGTGGGCTAAATTAGGTTTTGGGTTTGGATGAAGTAAAGGAGAATAAATTTGAAATTAATTTCAGATTTAAGTGGTTTTGGAGGGATTTGAATTTGAAAATTTTATTTCAAATTCAAATGGGATGTAGGGATTAAAGAGGAAATTCAAGGGAGGAGCCCATTAATGGGGCCGGCGGCATTAAGAGGGAGAGGGAGGGATTTGGGAGAGTGATTTTGAAACTTCCAAATCAACTTATGCAATTTATGAAAGAGAATAATAACTCAAATTTAATTTGAAATTTAAATAGACTTGGAGTTATGCACTTTCCTAATTTAGAGTTGGCAAATTAGGAAAGTATTTGAAATTTAAAATTGAATTTCAAATAAAACTTACTTAATTTCCTTTCATTCTTGGAGTCAATTTAGGCAAGAAATTATAAGGTTTGAAATTATCATAATGGAAGGGAGCAAGGGGTGGCCGGCGGCAATGGGGAAGAGGAGGAGCCGTCAGGGTATGAGGAGGTAGGAGTTTGGGTTGCCGGTTGGAGGGGGGTTTTGGAGGTGGAATTGAGTACGGGTGGAGGAACGGTGGTGGGTCGTTGAGTGTAGAGATGATAGAGGGGAAAAGCATAAAGGCCACGAGCCATGGACTCCTCCGTTGACTGGTGGGTATTGCACTCGCCCGCACCTCGGGCTCTCTCTTCTCTCTTCAGCACACTTGAAAAGAGGAAGACAAAATCAGATTGTCATTCAAACATTCATTGAAAAACTAATACAAAGACTTTGGTCACTATATATATGCCTTGATAATAAAGGAGAAACAAAGACTCATATGCCCTTTGGGCTACAACTCACTAAACTCCCACGTAGGGGTACAAAGGTCAATTGAAACAAAATAATAGAAATAAACTAATACAATAACAAAAAGAACTCATAAATAGATGCTCCTGATCGTGGCCGTTGATTTGCGATGCCTCCTGTGATAAATGCGCTTGAATCGACGACTGATGTCCTCATCAGTTAGCTCAAATGAGTTCTTGTGTTACTATTTCTCAATGGAAGCATGTGTTAGATGTGGAAGAGGAGCCATACATGTTGGATTGTTGACCTGTTGAGACTTTGAAGGATGTGAGTGTTAAAATTCTATCGGATGAGGGTATCCTTTATCTAATCTATGTAGATATCAAAGACTTATTGAGAAAATATACTCTCACAATTACTCATCAGGATTTTTCATTTGCCATAAGTTTAGTCTGATAGTTTCTAGAATCCCAATTAGGCATGTCATTGAAGAGTAAGAAATATGTTATTCTTAGATCAACTATTGGGCTGAATTTTGATCCATGAAAATGGACATAGTTGGAATGAATGGTGAATGTTGGAGACTTCAAAAGATGTTGATTTGTGACAATAAAACAACATTGTGTATTACCTCCAACGCAGTTTTTTCTCACTGGTCATCATTTTATTAGTTATATGATTCTTTTAAGGAGTATTTCTATTGTCTTTGTTAATTCAAATAGCCAGTTAGCTATTGCATTCACCTAGTCTGTCAAGGACCTTGAATAAAATGCATTTGTAACAAGTTTTAGACATATGATAGCATGAATGGCGTAGTTGGCATTGTAATACGTAGGTTAGTGTATTTTATGTGCTTAGTTGTCATTTTGTCGTAGTTGAGGGTTTTCCCTGTATAAATCTCCTTTTTTTGGCAAATGAATATACAACAATTCTTCTTTCCTCTATGCTTTCTCTCAATCATAACTTCACCATTATTTGTAATTCCTGATCACCATTATTTGTAATTCCTGGTCTTAATTGTTTTGAATTAATCACATATTTTATCATATAATTTGCTCCAACAGAAATTGTATTAATGTTTGTCTGAACCATTTGTTACACTTGTAGGAAAGGGCCTTAAAAGCAGAGGAAGAAATGGAGCGGGGGAGGAAGGCTCTCATGTTTGTTAATATCTATTTAGCACAACCAATTCTATGTACAGGCCACTTATATTCTTTTCGGTTCATTAAACAATGAGCATTGCTATGCAGAGATGAAGGACGTGGAATTCAAGCTGAACTGCGTTTTGTCAGAAAAATTGAAAGAGATATAATGGGTATGCACGAATTTAGCCTCTACCACATTTAATGGAATTATGCACCCTTTTTTCTTTACTTTGAATTGCATATTTCTAATTTTCTTTTGCAGGCCTGAAAGACCTTATTAATGAACTTCCTCGGAGAGAAGCATCTCGATATAGATCAGTGGTTAGTTTTCTTTATAATTTTAATGTGTTATTATAGATTTATTAATTCTTCATTTAGTTTTTATGTTACAATTATTGCCATCATGCTCTCTTCTTTTAGTTACTATATGTTATTACTTCTCATAATTCTAAATAGAGAATTTCAATAGAATACTTTACTTGCAACTTTCGAGCATTAATTATAGTTTTAAACCTATAATGGCTTTGATGGTCCGTTGGTTGACTTAGAGGTGGTGGCCCAACCAGCATGGAGAAACCTTAGTTGGTCTAGTAGTTTTGTCACACTAGATGATATGACAGACCATAGCATAGCCTGGGTCTTTTAAATAGCAGAAATCATGTGCAGGTGAATCCCTCCCCAATCGGAAATTGTAACCTACTTTCCATGAAGCACCAATATAATAGGAAGTGCATGCAAAAATTTAAGAAAAGGCTTGGCTGAAATCTAATTTCAATAATGTCATGAAACTAACGGCAAGAAAAACAAGAATATAACACATAAAAAAAATTTATTGAAACTTTTATGAAAGAAAAGACAAGATAAAAGTGAATCTTCAATTGGAGAGGAAGATCCGGCTCTCCCAGATCTCTAGCTGCTGGCTAGAGCCTAAACACCCTAAGAACAAACAATCTAAATTCAACAAACTATACATACCCCTAACCCTACAAAAATCATATACTTAAAGCAAACAATAGAAAATTAAAAAAAAAATAAAATAAAAAATAAACAAAAACAATAAACAACAAATACCCAAACAGTCCTCCTCTAATTTCCTTCTATTTTCTTAATTATTTTCCTCCCAAATTAGCCCCCAAATCTGTCCTCTTAAATTAGAAAATATTTCCTAATTAATTCCCCCAAATCAGCCCTCTTCAATTAGGAAATGATGACCCATACACCCAAAAAATGATGCACAATGTTACCCAAAACAGTTGGCTGTGGTGGCGGTGGTGGCAGATGGAGGCAGCAGCGGCTGGTGATGGTGGTCAAGCAAGCTTGCTTGCAGTGTAAACGGTTCTCGCCCAAAACTGGGTGAGTTTACGTTACCTTAAAACTAAACTAAAATGGTTTACACTACATTTGCTATATTTTGCATTTCTTTTTGTTCTAACCAAGCACCAATATTTTAAAAACTATGCATTTGAAATGCTTCACACTTATTTTACTTCCAACCAAAAAGCCCCTAAATTTATTTGAGTGTAATAGTTATGAGAAAGTTGCCCTCATTTTTTCAATATATATATATATATATATATATATATATACATATATAATACTCCCAAGAATTTAAGAAATTGTTTTTATAGAACTATATTATGAGATGCTGCTCTCTTATAAAAATATGTCATTTAGATTGCAAAGAATGTAAAGTTATTCTGATGTGAGACAAACAAGAATTGCACATAAATATTAAAAGATACGCGATGCTTGCTACTTAAGATTAATGTTACGTAAGGCGAGATTAAAGAACTCTCAATCGTCAATTTTATTATGGTAAACAATTACAAGACTAGAAGTTTAGGACAAATCAAGATAGATCTGAAATTATCACAATAAAAACAAATATGTTGTAATAAAATCCCACGATTAATATTTAGAAAGTTCACGATGAGTTACCATACTCACGCTCAAAGTACGGCTTAGCGGAGGAAGGTCTCTAACACACCCAACGATGCCACTAGGAAGGTTGCAACGCCAAGAGTCTCAATCCACGGAAAGAATGTCGGTGGCGGAGGAATGAATCGGCCGGTGATTGCCCACGATCCGGTGGGAATATGTTCTTCAACGGAAGGTACGAGCATGAAGAGGATGCAGTGGATGTATCCGTTGGCGGTCTCGTTGACGTCGAGATTCACACCAAAGAAGAGTGAACCAAGGAGATCCGTTCTTCCGTGGTCATCAAAGATGAAGCCATGGTCGATTCTAAGATCGACCATGCTCCATCGTTGAGAGAAGTCGAAGGAGTTGTCTTCTTCCCTTGTCTTCCAATGGTATGATAGGCGCCGAGTTCAAGAGGGGAGGAGCCAAGAGAGGGGTCGTCTAGGGAGGAGTTATGTGGGTTGACATGGGGTTAGGTTTTGTGAAGGTTGGGTGAAGAAGAAATCTGAAATTAAGTTCAGATTTTGGAAAAGTTTGGGAGGGAAACTAATTTGAAATGTTGATTTCAAATTAGTCATAATCAAGGCATTGATTAGGAATTAATTGGGAGGAGCCAAACATGGGCCGGCGGTATAGGAGAGAGAGGGAGGGGAGTTTATTCCAAAACCTGAAATTAATTTCAGGATTTGAGGGGATTTGGGGGGAAAACTAATTTGAAATTTGATCTCAAATTAATTTTTAATTAATTAATTGATTGGAGACTTAATTGGGGGTGGGGGGGGGGGGGGAATCCATGCATGGCCGGCGGCATGGAGAGAGAGGGAAGAGGGAAGAGGGATTGGGGAAATTCATGCTTTTTCCATACAAGATACGCCAACGAGGCGGGAAAATAATAGCTCCAAAATTAAAATTTCAAACGGATTCAAATGGAGAAGCTTTCCTTATTTGGATTTCACAATTAAGTTTTGAATTCTGAAATTTGAATTTCAAAATTCACAAATTTCTCTTTTAATGCTAGTACCAAAATTAAGGAGTCATTATGTTGTTTGAAAACCTCATAATGGTTTGTTGCATGAGGAGGTGGCCGGCGGTCAAAGGGGGAGGGAGGGGCTTTGCCGACAGGTGAATTAGGCTTGAGTGGTGGTGGAGTTGGATGTGGTGGGGCTAGGGGATAAACTGGATAAGAGAGGTTAAGTAAGTGGTGGGTTTGGCGTGGGAAGGATCTGGCGGGTAAGTGGAGGAAAATAAGAGGAGAAATTCGGCTAGGATAGAAAGAAGAAAAATACCACGAGCCGCGGACTCTTCCAATGATTGGTGGGCCTTGCACTTGCTCACCTCGAGCACTCTCCCTTTCCTCTAGAAATCTCACAAGAAGGATAAGAAACACAAGAAATTTTCATTCCACTATTCATCATCAAATACATAAGAAATGGTCGCTTATATAGGCCTCACAATAATAAAGAAAATAAAAGACGAGAATGTCCTTTGGGCTACAATAGTGACGAATTACTCATAAGGGCAAAAACGAAAAAAAGGCTAAAATAAAATAATTAATACATAAAATGCATCAAAAGTAAATATTCTCCATCATGGCCATCGATTTCCTGTGTCACCTCTGATAGATGCGTCGAAACCTCTTATCGATGTCCCCATCATATTCTGAGTGAAAGTTTATGTACCCAATATCGCTTATTAGTTTTGAACTTTAAAATGAAAGTGTGGAATATAAAAAATAAATTAAATTTTATCCTAGGATTATATTACAAGAGTTTAAGAATTATAGAGGAATTAAGTTAATATTCAAACATTAAACTATGGAAGAAAGTAATTGACCATAGGTTACGACGATATGTTAATATTTCTCATAGTCAATTTGGATTCTTGCGAGGCATGCCTACTTTGAAAGCTATAAATTTATTGAGACATTTGATGGGGAAGTATAAAGGAATAATGAGGATCTACATATGATATTTATTAATTTAAAATAATATAATAAAGTTTCAAAAAAAAAGTGCTATGGAGAGTTCTTGAAAAGAAATGAGTTAATAATGCTTATATTCAAGTTATTAAGGACATACATGCATGATCTATTACTTGTGTTCAAACATAAGGTGGTTTGATCAAGTATTTTCTTATTTCAATTGGATTTAGGGGTGTAAGTAAGTCGAGTCGGCTCGAGCTCAACTCGTTTATTGGCTCGCAAGCCGAGCTTATCAAGTTCACAAGTCGAGCTTGAGCTCAAACTTGAGCTAGTTTAGTAAAGGAGCTCGAGTTCGAGCTTGAGCCGGCTCGGCTCATGAGCTTGTTAGCCTGCTCAAATACTTATTAATATTTTTTAAATAATTTTATTTTATTTATTAAATTTAAGTATTTAAAAAGTAATCATAATAAGTATTTATAATATTTAATAATATATCAATACATTCATATTTAACGTTTAAAATATTTAATAAAAATTTAAAAATTTAACATAATTAATAATATTTTAAAAATCTATTACAGTGGGACAACCTCGAGTTCGAGCTCGCATTCCAACTGACGAGCCGAGATCGATATGGCCTAAACTCAACTTGACTCAACTCATTTACACCCCTAGTTGGATTACATCAAAGATTAGCTTTAATCCCATATCTTTATGCTTTACTCATGGATGATCTTACTAGACATTTGCAAGAGGATGTACCATGTGTATGTTTTTTGTTGATGATATTCATATTGATAATTCAAGTAGAAGAAAAACTTGAATTATTGAGGTCAACCTTAAAGTATAAAGGTTTCGTTTGAGTAGATCTAAAATCAAATATATAGAGTATAATTTTAGTAGTAATAGATTTAGTGTGATGATTATGATTTTGGATGATCAAGTCATTAAAAGGAGTATATGTTTTAGATATCTCGGATCTATTATTCAAAGTGATGGTAAAATAGATTGGGATATTATTAATAGAATTCAAGTTAGATGATTGAAGTGGAGGAATGCATTGAGCTTGTTCTGTGATAGAAAAGTACCTCTTAAACTTAATGAAAGATGTTATAAGATGGTGGTGAGACCTACAATGCTTTATGGCACAAAATATTGGTCATCAAAAAAGAAGCATAAAATTAAGTGTTGCAGATATGAGAATGCTCAAGTGGATGAGTGGTTTTACTTTTAGAGACATAATGCAAAACAAGTATATGGAGTAGCTCCAGTGGCTAATAAAGTCAGCCTAGGTGGTTGTCACATAAAATGTCAATCTTCTAATGACTTGATTTGTATATTAGATATATTAGATCTGATATATGTTAAGAAAGATAGAGATAGACTTTAAAAAAATTATTAGAAATGATTTTTTTAATTAGATTTAAGTAAAAATTTGACTCACTATGAAGAAAATTGATTTATGTAGTCAACCCTATGCACAGGTGGACTAATCGCCTATGTTGTATAGAACTATTATTCTACAGTCATCCCAAATAAAGAACTTATAAAAAATTCTTACAATAAAATAAGAAATAAAAGGGATAACTCACCCCCCAAACAAAGTCCTTATTAATTGATGCAAAAACACTAAAAAATATTTTCACTTATTATTAATCCGTGCGTTGCTGCCCCTCTTGCAGATTTCAAACTTTGTTTCTCAAGTCAAGCATGAAAAGAAATCTCTCAGTAACACTGCTTCGAAGATCGTCAACTACGGCATCCCTTTGTGATGACAATCATTATACTTTATAAGTTTAATTTAAGTGTGTGTTTTTTCCCCTCAATGCTTACCTGTATTATTATCTATGCCTTCAGCTCTGTTCTGACAGTGATTGTCAGCTTCTTGTACCAATATGAACCGATAGAATTAATAATTTTATTTCTGGTTAATTATCCATACAAGTTAACTTTATAGATTTGTTTTGAATTTTTTTTTGAAGATCTAATTATTATGAACTTGTATTTGACATTATTATTTTGAATGAATGGAAATAAATTAACTTTGAATATACTTATGGTTGCAGAATCATGGTGATGTCAGAGATTTTTCTGATTTTTTAAAGTTTACTTGAATTACATTGCCAAAAACAACAAGAAGATATTCAAATAAATTTGATCGAGATAGATTAATAATTATTAGATGATTTTTTAGATAATGATACATTTTGACTACTTAATCAAAATTTATGTTCTAATAATCTTAAAACAAATATGATTGATATAAAATCCAGATAGTTCTGCTCGACTAAACGCTTCCAAAGTATTCAAAACGCAAATATTGGGAATCAATATGAGTCCACTTTTGATTCAGGAGGCATCAAATAGTTTCAGTTACCGCAATCATAGCTTCAATCGCAACAATTATAGCTCTGTTGGACATGGAAACTAAACTTTACAAAATTGGGATAAATACTATATTGCAACTTCGAAGGGAGGAACCCATGCTAGTAGTACCACTTAGGTCTCAGCTCCTCTTCTGCCTCTGTTAGCTCCTGATATTGGTACCACTCTGCACTGCCTGAGCCAACAGGCATTGGTGGCCGGACAAAAATCTCCACTGGTTTGGGGACATGAACATCCAAGTGCAGTTCTCCTTTGCAGTCCACAAACTCGTTTTGACCAACCCCGAGACCAAATGGCTCGACCGAAATCCAACCCAGCCCAGATATTGCAATGTCGGATGCAGGTCTATAGAGGATAGCAAGGTTATTATCTCATGATAAGAACGCATACAGAAAACAGCAAAAAGCATATTTATTTCACAACAACAAATTGGTCTGCTTTTATACTTTGCATGGAGAATTCAGTTCATAAAAAAGCAAGCTACTTGTATTGTATCTACTGCAAGTAAGAAAAAGAGTTGTATTCTTAACCTTTGTAAGGAAATTCTGTTCAAAAGCAAGCTATTTATATTGTATATATCGCACTTGAGGTCATGTTATCCCCGTCCATATTAGGCTGAACCTCACAACTTTTAATGTAAATACCAAGGAAAAAATCCATCTCAAGCTGCTCTTCTACTATAAGCACACACTTAACTAGGAGGTTCCCTAAGAAAAGACTATCATATGGTATTTTGATGAGATAGCAATTTGCTTCATCCTGTTCTGTCAACTTGGCTAACATTATCATCACAAACTTTAAGTGAAAGTAGAATACCTCTTTTGGTCTTCAAATTTTATTTTCAACTGACGCACAGATTGAAGTCCTGGCCATAGTTCCCTTAGCTTTTCAGATGGAGGTGTCAACAAAACTCCAACTTCTTTCTGGAAACAAAAGATAGCAACGCGTATTAAAGAAAAGAAAGGCACAAAAGCCTCAATAATTATCTGACAATTACAATGGCTAGAGGAAAAATGAGTGTCATAGGGTAATAGATTAGATTTATGGTATTTTTCTGTAGTGTAACATTAACCTCAGGTGGTAAGTTAGTGCAGAAATTCAGGGATCACATCCCAAAATTAGCTGTGCACTGCAGACTGAATTGATTAATCAAAGTATTCTTCATGTCAAATAATCATCCATAAGTAACAATCTCGCCTTATTAATTTGTAAGAAGACAAAAAGAAAAAAACTGGAACCTAAAAGAATGCCTTCGAAGGTCTGAAAAACACTACCATATAAAATGACTAAAAGAGTGGTTGTCTTGCAGTAAGGGTAATGATGATGATGACAATCATGATCTTGATGAAATGCACTTAATTTTCATATATAATCACCATCTAAAAATTGCAAAACAGACAAACAAACTCCATGCATTCATCCAAGAGAAATTCTGATAAGTCATTGGAAACATTGTGATAATGATCATAATAAAAAACAATAATTTTATAGTGAAAATAAGAAATTAAGAAAAGAAAATTAGCAACCAATAAAATAATCAAGAACAGAATAATAGATAACCAGCCATCAAGCTTTAACAAAGAAATTGGCTTAGTGTGCAGCTGCTGTCTTTTCCAAGTGAACAGGTAACATGGCATCACTAAAACGTAATAAATGTAGCTTTCTGAATGTACAAGTTTGTGCATTAAGTTGATACAATTCTATTTGAAGTCAGCGTAGCATGAAACTTCGGAGTTTATTAATCGAAAAACAGTTGGTCAAAAAATTATAATTGAAATCAATCTGTAACCTAACAGTAAGGGCTAATCTAGAAATTTGTGGTCCCATTACATGGTAAAACTCATCAGCTTCAGCAGTTGGGACCATGAGAATCTGCAATTTGCGGGGTCCAAAAAATGTCAAACGTGTCTGCGGCAGAACCTGCATTTCATGTATTACTTGCTGAGATTAATTAACATCATTGGATAGTTACAAGAAAGATATAGCACTAAAAAATAGAATGAGTTTAAACCTTAAGGACGTCAATACGCACAAGTCCACCCCAGAAGATTGAGAATCCATTTAAACCGACATTGTCTGCGGCAGTAAGATTACTCTTTGATACTACCTGAGATTCCAAAAGACTTAAAAGACTATTTTTCTAGCAGTATAACTCAGTTTTGCCAAAGAATTTTCAACATACAGGGAATGATTGCCCCCTGAGACGACTTTGAGGTGCAAGGAAAGGAAGATCTTCAGAATGAACAACTGCAGCCTGCCTATGATGAAGATGCACTCCTGGCGTGTCAAAAAAGTTCTGCACAAAGTGAAAAGTCAATGATTCATTGAGCCTTTTAGAAGCGCACAGATCAAACTAACAAAAAGCAACCAACCCAAAATGAATTATAAAGCATTTCCGCCTACAAACATCACCCTATTCAAAAGGAAATATTAAAAATTATCATCAATAAAATTATTTGACTCTTGACAGGACATAATGGAGAAAAAAATTCATGCAGCCGACCCTACGTAATGGGATAAAGACTTGATGTTGTTGTTGTATTTTTCATCAATAGATGTACAACAGGTCAGTATAAGTTCTAACGAATTAGTATTGCAGAAGTAATTCCTTTTGCTTGACAAATTATTAGAGAAAATAAACCCTACTCATAGAAAATAGACTATACTTGAATGTTTAGTTGAGATAAAGTATTTGCATTAAGCTTAACTAACAATTTTATGAAAAATATTAGCCAAAATTTCAGGTTTTAATTTTATTATAGAAATATAAAATATAGAGTTAATAAGCTTGATGTTGTTGTTGTTGTAGAGTTAATAAGGAATTTTTTTATGAATGGTTTGACCGACTACATTTTTATTAGAATTGTAGGAAAATAATCAATAAAATAATTCATTTATAAAAAATCATGATACTTGTGTGCATGAAAATTTATGGTAGTAGAGATAATTTAACGCATTAAAATTGTATAAAAGTTACGATGTAAGATATTTCAAATAAAAATCCAAAAATAGGGAATAATAATGGGATTTAGCCCTCTTGAAATACGTCCACTAATGTGAGCAAAAAATTACAATGGGGTGACATTCACAACAATACAAGAGGGAATTAATATAATGTAATATATATAAACCTTAAAGACATCTCTTGTGAGCTTCGACATGTCAGAATTGCATAGGACAATGCGTATCATTTGACATTTGATGGAGAACATCGGGAGTCATGAGATAGAGGGCGGTAGACTTTATCCTCGAATATCAAATTTTGATCATTGGTATGCATTGGATGACAAATGAACTGGCATGTTGGATATTGGCCAGTAGTGGGTGGTTGGTTAAGTTATTCTATAGATAGGGAGTAGACAGTGGATCAGGAAGATGAGCATTGGACATCAAACATCACGTATGGTTACTGGAGAGCATCGATGTTGATCAACAGTCAAAAAACAGTTGCAGATAGAGCTATGTAATTCTTATGAATCCTACATTTCCCTTTACCAAAAATCCTTTCCTAAACATATAAAAATAGGGCCAAGAATTTAGGTCATCTCTACCATAATCATAGACACTCGATCAAATAATTCGAACAATACCCCTTGATCATGATATATTTTTTTTATAGCTCAATGACTTATGAACATCGAATTGAGCGATCTTGGACATTTTAGATTCATCTCACTGATAAACTCATTTCGACAATAAGCATGCAAAATTTAGAGTTTAACCTAAAAATAGGCACCAAAAGTTTCCAACGCTTTCAATGCTTGGCCTAGTCCCATTTGGACTCATATCCATGCATTCTTGGTTTCGTTGGGTTTATCTTGTCAAATTGCACTATCTCGACCATCATCTTGCTTAAAATAGAGTTTAGATTATCTCGAAATTAAATCCTAAAGCTTCTTGTCCAAATACTTTGTGCTTGATTGAATGAATTTTCCTTGTCTTTACAGTGTTGGTTTGTACTTGTGCCATTTTTGCTAAATATGTGAGTCCAATTGTACCTCTTTAAGCATGACGAAATGAAAAATCAAACGATAATGTTTGGTCGTCATGTATAAATCTCTATAAATATTTTGACTTCTCTGTCACCTTTTTTTAGTTCTCTACCGATTTTCATATGATTTTCTTACATCTTTGTTTACTTCTCGACCATTTTTTTTTTAACTACATTTACTTGACTTTGAAGGATGTTAGTTGACAGTTATATCCTTTAGGCTATATATCTATGAGTTCATAAGTACCTCTTTAAGCATATTGAAATGAATGATGAAATAGACGTTTTGGGTTCCTCCACTCATTATTGGGGTGGGAGGGGAGGGGGCAGGTGCGTGTTAACCTTTAAAGAAAGACTTAAAAGGATTGGAGGGTTGCTACAACAACAAAATATTATTCATAATAACCTTATTCTATTACCTATAGATATTTTACATTTCAGCACTTACATTCTATTCTTCTGCAGTTCTCCAATTTAAATCTATTTTTCTATATTCATATCCTGCGGTCTCAGCTATTGATGTAGGCAAGGGGGGGTCAAAACAAAATGAATATTTTGGTTTTCTTTATTTTGTTCTTAGAAAGAGTCTTCTTTTTGTGATAAAAAATTTGGCTCCCTCTCCCAAATTTTTGATTGCATCAGCTATTAGCTACATCATATGCACAAAATATACACCAAGTTCTCTCACATTTGAAGTTATATTATAAAAAAGAAAAGGTGAAAAACTTTAAACAATAAATTTTGCTATATTCATATCCTGTATAACTTTTTACTTGTTACAACAAAGGTCTCAGCTATTAGAGCTACATCATATGCACCAAGTTCTCTCACTTTTTTTAAGTTATATTGTAAAAAAGTAAAGGTGAAAAACTTTAAACAATAAATTTTGCAGTGGAAAAGCTGATCAAGAAGGCAAATGAACATGCTTGTGCAAAATAAATCCCAAGCTCGGAAAATTGGAAAAAGGTTGATCATTCTATGTTGTTGTCAGCATTAAATGAGTTTAGATGTATCCTCTAAAATATTGAATACCGACTTTAGAGAATAATGCATGGATATAAGACATCTGAGGTTCAGTTTTAACTTTAAGATGTGAAGTTCACAATTTGGATGTCAGAGTAATATTTATCATATTTTCTATATATAGTACAATGTATTCTAGTTTTGCACCAAAACAGGTTCCAAACCTAAGCGAAAGTTTTTGTTGGCAGGCGTTAGGTTATTACAAAAGTAAACCATGTCAAACAATAAAATGAACCTTAAACCAGACGAACTATTGAAGTAAAAGAATACTGGTTAATTGTGGCATACAAAGAATAATGTGAAATAAACATGATTAATGTAGTTTCATCTCACATACACCTCCTCCTTGAAAAGCTTCAATTTTAATGCGCCCTAGCGTTGTTCCAGGAACAGCAGACTGCATTGGTTTGTACTTATGAGCAGCAGCAGCAACCGGATTCTTTTTTGCCATTGTTTCTGCAGTTGCCAACAAATGCACATCTAAAATCAACTAGTTCCAAACTCAGAGCTCTCAAAAATGGTATATCCATCGTTTTGATGAGAATAAAGAGGAAAAAAAAGTAGAGAGATTTAAAAAAACTATAAAAAATGAGTTGTATTATGAGAAACTTGATAGTTTTCAAATCCAATAATTCAAAAGTGCAAGCAAACCATCAATGAGGACAGTTGATGCTATACACCCAAAAACAAATACATAGTTAAAGCCACAGTAACAGCCATAGCTGGTGAAGAAATATAAATTTAAATTTTATGATTAATTACTTAACTATAAAAAGCACAATGATTAAACAAATGAAAATTAGACAAAAAAAATGGCTTCGCTACTCCTGTCTTCACTGCTGGTCAAATCAAATACATAGAAAGCTTCATCACTCCCCTCCTCACCAGAGGTTGAGGTTACTTCTCCTTGCTCACCTTCACTTCTAATCTTGCTTCCCTCTGCACGGACCAGTAGAGGGAGACGTATATGTGAACGATTCCATTGCTTCCCTCCTTAGTGTAGATTGAACCCTATGCTCCCTTTAATGTGTTTCAGCTTCCCTAGTCCCTGCTTTAGGCATAGTAGCTCATCTTAAGAATCAATCATGTTCCACTCCTCATTATAGGTCTAACGCTGAATGAAATTTCTTCTTCAATTGAGATTTTAAGAACTAGATCCATCTAATAGCATATTGAAGTAATGCCATTATTTCAACTTGCTTCTTGGATCATAGCTTTCTCTAATCTTATTTTAGGAATGCTAAGTTTCCTATAAAATCATCCAACATATTTAATTTGTGTAATGTGCTATATTTTATTTGCATTTTCATGAATCTAAAACAGTAAAGTTGTACAAAATATCATGCAATATGCTATAATATTTTAAAATTCAGGTCTCCTCTTCTTTTATTTTGCAAAACATTTATCCATTTAATTGACTTCCAAAGGGCATGTTCTTCATAAGAATGTTAAACACAAAATTGAGCTAAGATTATAGTTGAATGTTCAAATTAGTAAAAGATCTGATAGTTGTGGTAACTTTATAAAGGAGATACAACAACAACATCAAGTCTTTATACCACTAAAAGGGTGCAACATGAGGACTTCCCAGGAGATCAACAATCCTAGTACTACCCTTGCTCAAGCACGCTCAACTGCAAAGTTCTGATGTGATCAGATGCATTGGTGCTGGTATGGTCACACCCCTTTTAAAGGGCGCAATACAAAGACTTCCCAGGAGGTCACCCATCCTCGTACTACTCTCGCCCAAGCATGCTTAACTGAGGAGTTCTAATGGGATCCGGTGCACTGATGCTGGTATGGTCGCGCCAAAACTTAGCAAGCCTTTAATTAGTTTGCTAAATGCTCGTTTTAAGCATTTGACCTCATCTGAAATTATGTTCTTGTAAATCAACTTTTCAAACAACCTTAAAGCCCCCACTTCTCGACAAAAATATTCCATTGTCGGGATTTGAACAAGGGTTGTTTGGGTGAAAGCCAGATATCCTAACCGGACTAGACCATAATGGAAATTAGTAGAAAATATATTTAAAACTATAAATGGCTACCCTTCTAATTTTATTTTGAAGATGACTATAACTCGTAACAATTGTGCTAATAGATTTGTAATGCATATTCGAAGTAAAAACAACAAAATAGAAGGAAGAAAAATGCACAAATACAAATATGGCGGTTGATTTTTTATTACTTCTTCAACAATAATGAAAGATACAATTAATCTACTATTCGAGAGGTAGATCGGCTCTCAGAAACCCTAGTTGCCACCAGGAAACTCACACCAAACCCTAGAAACTCAGCACAAATATCTTCATAACCCTATACAAAACTCCCTCTTAAATAGCTCTCACACACATTAAACAAAATTATAACCTTCATAAATAACATAAACACAATTAGAAAACATTCTTAAATAGCATAAACACAATTAGAAAACATTCTTAAATAGCATAAACATAATTAAAAAAAATTCTAAATAGCATAAACACAATTAGACAATCTTCCTAAACAGTTCCCCCTTGAATACTCCTTACATAATGAATAATAGCTCCCATGGCCCCACAAGGGGAGTCGAAATCTCCCCCCATACTGCCCCTGGTTTCGCCCACACAAAGGGTTGGTTCGGCCAGGGCTTGTTTGAGAATTATACCATTATTCTACCAAAAAAGGTAGAAGTTTCACCATCCTTATCAACAATGATGAGAAACTGTCCAGGCTACAATTTTGTCATTCCTCTTAACTAGCATAGTACAAAGACCTTTACCAGTCATAAGGACTTCTTTAATATTTAGTACAAGGATATTATTGATCATTCCAAATACTTCTACAAAAGTTAGATAAGAATTTTAGGGTGAAGCAAAAAATACTTACAACCTATATATGCTGCATAAAAATATTACAATATATATAACTAGATATCAAAAAGACATGGAATGTGACTCTTGTAAAGTGTGCTTCCACGATGCTGTACATTCAGAAGAGTATAAAACTTCAAATAAATTTACAGAAACTTCAACGTACTGCACATGGTAACATAATTTTACATAATTGTAAGTATGCCAAATAAACTTACTAAGCAAAGCACTAATGAAAGCGGATTTTCCAACATTAGCTGATCCCTGTAGAAGACATTAGGAATAATTAATTGTCTTAATCTAGAGCTACGCAATGCCAAAAAAAATAACATTAAATAGAAAATCCATAGCCAGATAATAATGAAGTATATCACCAAATACCATGAACACCCAAAAAAAAAACAAATTAAAATCAAGGACCAGAAATCACTTTCATACATTTATAATTTGAAATTTAAGGGTCCACACAGTATTGCTTGCAGTAGCATGTTTAATGTTGTTGTAAAGATAATTCTACGCTTAAAGCTTCAGATTTGAGTATAATTGTGAGAACCCAGAAAAATCCCAAAATAGTCCACATACTATTCGTATATAGTCAATTTAATCCCAGAGTATCACGTTGTCCCAATTTAGTCCCTCGCTATATAAAATTGATCCAAAAAAGTCCATGATATAATTGTGATATAAAATTAATCCCAATTTAGTTCCTCAACTTTACAAAATTGATCCCAATTTAGCCCCAAAAGGATCATTTTGGATCAATTTTGTATAGACGATGGATTAAATTGGACCAACATTATATTCTGAGACTAAAATGACCATATATAAATAGTATGTGGTCTATTTTGAAATTTAACCATTGTGAACCAATATGATGTCTTTCAAGTTCCAGCTTCACCAAGTATTTATGAAACTAAGTTTTCCTCACATTGGGGAGTTAATAAATATGCCAAACTTAGTTTTAAAATTATATTATCTCATTGAATTCCAAAACTACAAGAAAAAATAAAAAAATAGGCATAGCATAAGCTGCCAAGCAAGTCCAATCCCAATTTAATAAATGAATTAGCACCGATGTTTAAAGTTAAATTTTCAAAATTATGAAGTACAGAAACTGCCAAGATAAGTTGCCATAGGAGCTCAGGACGATATCATATTTAGTTGAAAACATGGTGGTTAAGAAAGCTAGTTATCTCATGAAAGTTGCATCAAGTGTATCATTTGGTTGCCAGCAAATAAATATAATTTCCTTTATGTTTCTACATTAAATTAAGTTAATGAAAGTCCAAAACAACTGGAATTTGACCAATGTTTAGGTAATAATACCATGAGCGAAATGAATCATATCACCGTACACCCCACGCAATTATTTCTTCACGCTTAGAAAATGACACTTTTACCAACTCCTTTTTCTCATAACCCTCTCTCTCCTTGAAGCAGTTTTCTAAGCTACTATGTTTCAAATCAACCGTGGGTAGCAAGAATATGTTAAAGCAGGAGTATTGCATCCTTCTCTTATTAGATATGATTAGATAAGAACTTAGTTGTCTCATGCTTGTATTTTATGTATAAAGATAGGTATTCTTTGTGCTATTGGTTATGGCTGTTTTAGTACATGGTTGTATGCCATAATCAATATAAAGTAAAGGACTTACCACTTGTATTAGATAGTGAATGCATCTCAAAAACCTATTTCTAAAATCCAGCTTCCTCTCCTTGCTTGGGATGTTTGCTTCTTCCCCAGCTTCGATTGTGCTGAAGGCCCCTCCTTCCCCTCAAGTTGGTGCCAAGGACCTCCCCTTCACTTTCATGTTTGATGTTGGGACCGTATCTCTCATCCTCTACCTCTCTTAAGTTTCTTAGAATTCTCATACTTTTCCCTTCCTTTCTTTAATTATGTTGCATACTCACTTTTACTATGGTATCGAACCCTATTTTAAAGATAATATGATATTTAGCTAAATAATTATTATTTTAACCAAAATAAGGATCAATAAAAATAATAGTGATAATATATTGGCCTATGGGGCTAATAAGTCAATGATTAATTTAAAATTAAATAATAAGAATTATGGGTAGTGACTTATTATCAATTAAATAAGGATTAGTAATTCAGATTAAATAATGAATTATATCAGATTATCATTTATTTTAAAAGTTACAGGTTAATTAATAAAGGAATACATTTTTTTTTTCAAAGAAAAAACAAAGATTTGTTGTCACATCTGTGCAATATAAATTTTCATATACAATACTAATTTCAAAGAAAAAACAAAGATTTTCAAGCCTATCCTCATACAATTTGTATCAGGATATCTGGCATAATTTGTTTCCAACAAAAAACAGCCACTCAAACTCACTTCAATTAAGCTCACTTCTGAACTCAACTCCAACCACTTCCAAATACTTTAGTCAGAGAAAAATTGCCTTTAATGGCAAAAGATTACTGGTTGTTTACCTTTTAAAGTTTGATCGGTACTCATCGAAGGCTCAAGTAAAAAACATCTACCATTAATCAAAATCAAATTAAAGAAATCTACATGATATTTTTTATCAAAATATGAAAGCTATAATCCACATCAAATTCAATACAAGGGTGGTAATGACAATTTAATGAACTAATATCTAATATTTTAGTATTGACACAATTTGAGCCACAATGGCGCATACTAATCAAACATTTTGTCTCACATGGTTAATCAAGAAGTAGAATATGGTTCATTACCATCAAAATTCCTTTTCCATTTAGAAAAAATCAATCTTTTGACCCTTCATACTATTTACAAAAAATAATTTCATTTTATCATAAAAAATGTATAAAAGTTCAAGTTTGCCATACTATCTATATTTTGTTTGTCACAAAGTTATATTCATACAAATCATACATGTAAAACAATGCAAAAGCTATTTCGCAATGTGAGTACCTATGACTAAAGAGAGATATAGAAGGATAATCACATGTGTCTATGAAAAGACTATGCATTTAATTTCTCTCTCTTGACTTAAAACACTAAGAATGCATAACACAGTTTGCATGATCCAAACTTTTTTTTGATAGTTGTCTCTGAGTTCAAACATAGTCTAAATATAAACACAAAGAAACAATCAAACACGCATAAAAAAGGTCATCAGCATCAAAAATGTTGTCATTCCTCACTCCGGGAAGGAGTGAATTCAATTTTGCATTATAATGAAACAACTAAACAAGCACTCCTAAAGTGTGAATTTGAATTAACATAATAGAAAAGAATTAGTAAGAGACCGACAACATCAGCAGTAATAAACTACATTTCAAGCGAAAAAGGAGTCATCACTAACCAGAATATAAACATCCCGCCCCTGCACCAAAAGGAAAGTAGGGAAACTCGTCATTATTGGATTATTCAACAAGTTTAATATAACATACAATAATAAAGATTGCATACATTAATACAAATTAAACCTACGGAAATGCTTGCTTCTACGGGCACATGCACGCACACTGACATTTGTAACAAAAAGGATCTTGCTACATAAATGTGTTTAATCCATAACCGGACTTGTGCCCATATATATATATATATATATATATATATATATATATATTCAGCTTTATCAATTCTCATTCATCATTTATTGTCATTTAATGTCTCATAGGAACATAGTTTTTTTTTTTTTTCTTCACTATTTATATTCATGTAACCTTCACTTTCCTCTTTTCTAATTTAAAATTAGCTTTATATTACACTGTCCTACTGGTTCATATTTTAACTTTGGTTTTATATACACAAAACAACAAAGTTTTTTTCTCAACTTATCTTCAATATATAACATTCCCAACACCACTTTAATCTAAAATTTTCTTTAGTGGAACCGCGATTTAATCTTTAGCATTCTCATTGTTAAAGCTGATTTAGTCTTTTTATACAGGAGCAAAGACAGAGTTCAAAAAGGTCCAAGGAGCAAGCAAGTGAACAAAACATAGAGAGAGAAAGAGAGAGAAATAGTTCCACTTATTTCAAGAGATGCTAACATGCGTGGCTAGCGAGTGAGAAAAAGAGCCATGGAGAGACAAGGCGATCATGGTTAGCAAGCGCGTGCAAGAGAAAGCCATGAATAGTTTTCCTTTGTATATTAGTTATTTTTAACAAAAAAATTTAACTGCATTAAATCATGATTTATTTAGATTTAGGGTCAAGACTTTCTATAAGCTGAAAGCCTGAAACCCTATAAATAATTACCCCTCTTACTCACGGGAGGGCATTCTCAAATAAAGATGTTGCTTAATCTCATATTTTAGGCCTAGATTTAGTATTTATATGTAAATAGTTGACAAAATTGAGGTAGACCCAACCAGGATCCAATGGCTCAATCAACACTAATAAACAAGCAGACTTAGCATGCCAACTTCAGAGGGTTTTGACCTGTAATGTTCAAGGAGAATAACTAGCATATATAGATTGCCTCCTTTCAAGTGTCCCAAATAGGTAGGGTTGGAAGTGTGAGCCAAACACATACATTTAAGATCTACTTCAATTCACTCAATAGTACTGGATTGGTAGTACTAAGTTTATTAAATAGTTAAGAGTTATGCAGCATAACTGCTTATGGTTCAGAAGTATTGGACATGATTAATAGAAGCTCAAAATCATAGCATAACCATCGATTGTCTACTGAGTTTTTTGTTTGTCATAAAAGTATGTTTAAGGTACATATGAGTATAATTGACGATTTTACTTTGATTGATGGGCAGTTTTACATTGATTGATAGGTTGTTTAACTTAGGCTTCGTTTGAGACGACTTTTTTATTGCTTTTTAAAGCAACTTCCTAGTATAAAAATTTTAATTTCTGTAATAGGAAGCTACTTTAAGAAGCAGAAAAAAAGCCGTCCCAAACGAAGCCTTAGGCAAGTTCAATTTGATATAAGGGCTTACATCTATTAAAAGGCCAAAAAATTAAAAATAATTTGATGAACTCGTTCGTTTTTTGCTAGCACAAAATAATTGGAATGGAACTTACATGTATCAAAAAGCTCATTAGTGGGATTAACAAACTTGAGGAAGACGCAAAGTCCAAAATAGGTCTTATAGCCTTACCCTATAAGTAAAGTAGATTGATTGATTAAATTGATTTGATGGGTTTGCTAGCTTTATGAGAACCAAATAGTTGATTTGAATTCTCATTTTGGATTTTCATAGGAATATCAAGACTTAAAACCCTAGATTTGAAGGGAGTCTAATGTAGGTCTTATTGATCATAATTAAAAAGACAAATAAAGATGGATCTTACGATCATGTTCTATAGACAAGATGGTCTGATGGTGGAGATTCATCAAAACTATAAGATCGTTTCAAAATCAAAAACATCAAACCCAAGTCCTTAGAATATTTTTCTAATCAATTGGAAAGTCGTCATGATTTTGAAGACTAAAGGGGCTTCATGATCATTTGGGTTAACATGGAGGTTTTAGGTATAAATTTGAGCTTATTTTGGAGCCCCGAGTACATCCGCATTTTTTCAATGCAATAATATGGATATTATTACCCGTAACTCATTTATAATTATAAAAGAATAACCTTAATGGTTTTTCTTGCTTATTAATCATAATTTTGATGAATTATGCTTTAGCCCTCCATTTGATGCATCAACACAATTTTGAACATATTGGCATGTTTCTATACAATGTTCAAATTGCAATCCTCATACATCATCTAAAGATATTTAGGCCACTCTTAAGAGTCCTCTATCTTATAAGTAGTTTATTAAATATGCTTCTTAATATGTTTGTTTATTAATGAGCTAACACATAATTAATGTTCACATGTTACTCTAGATGTTAGAAAGGTTTACAATATAGCTTTGTTCCTCAATTATCTTTGAGATCGACTCAATATTTTGCCATATTTTTCAAAACTAGCATGTTGCATATAGCATATGAGTTAACTCAAAGTCAATCATGGGATTGTATTAGAATCCACAAAATTCTAATCTTCATTTACCAATTGTCCAACAAAAACGTAAATTATATTAAATTACTCATCTTATTCGATTTTACATATCATTTGATCAATTATCCTCTTTTTTTCATACATTTGTCTTGTCCCTATCATCTATGTATATTCCAAATATATATCAGAAAGCGCTATAGAATCATTTCTATAAAAAGGTTATGAACACTTAGATGAGTGCTCTACTCAATCATCATATGTAGAATTTGGCAGTCCTCCATCCTCTGGAGTTTGAATTTTCACTATCAATTTTCATTTTAATGTTTGCAATAATTGATAAAAAGCTTCATTGATTGTCAAAATCACATAGGAATAGAGGGTAGATAATTTTCAAACTCTCTCCAGTTATCACGTAACTGTATTTAGATTCTCTTCTTTGTGGATGTCGATCAAGGTTGAACTCGAGTACAAATGGATATTAGAAATAACTTCCTCTATGGTGGCCCTAATGAGACAAATGATATGAAGAAACCTCTTGAGTGTGCTGCTTAGGGGGAGAACCTCCTATACCTATTCTGGAAGGCTAGCTATAGACTTAAACAAAACCCACGAGTTTAATTCGAAAATTTTTGCAAGATACTTGCTAAGATTAGCCTTCACAGTGGCACCACATATCATTCTAATTTAGTAAAAGTGACCATAACATCTTTGCAACAAAACTTAATTTGCAAAAGTGTTTTATCACCAAAGATCTGGTGCAACCAAAATATTTTTTTGGAGCTGAATTTGCTTATAACAAAAAAGAGGTATAACATCTCAAAGAAAATGTATTTTGATCTTCATTAAGAAATTGGACTTCTTGATTGTAGATCGCCTAATACCCTGATAGAGACTTGGACCAAATCTAATAACAAAGAGATATTTGATGATCTGTCTCAACATTAAGGGTTGGTTGCTAAGTTGATTTATCTATCATTTAACAGACCTAACATCTTACTCTTCATAGGGGTTGTTAGTCAAAACATGTCAAAATCAAAGTAAGGGGTAAATTGTTCTATAAATTCTCGAGTTTATCAAAAAGTCCCATAAAAAAGTTATTAAGACTGAGCACCTGAATGTTGAAACATTATCAATTGTTAATTATGTTTGGTTTATTTAAGATAAAAAAGTAATACTTCAAAATATTATATTTTTGTTTGAGGTAACTTGATCACCTAGAAAAGTAAGGAACAAAATTATTGAGACCAAGTCTACTGCAGAGACTAAATAGATTACTATAGCATGCTAGGTGTGTGAAATAGTGTGGGTAAAACTCTTCATTTTTCCATTAATAAGCAGGTGACAATATGCTGTGAGAATTTTGTCATGATATATATGAGTAGAAATCCTCTTTTCCATGAATAACTAAAAATATTAAAGTTGATTGCCATTTCATATATGAGATATTATAACTTTCCAAGAAGATTGATACTCCTCAATTCGAAACAAATGGGGGATATCTTTACCAAAGCTCTAGATCATACAGTATTTTCATGTTTACGCAACAAGATAGAGCTAATGATAAAAATGATGATCTAACGTGAGGGGGTGTTGCCATATATATTAGGAAACTAATATTATGGAAGGTCATATTTAGAGAACATTTTATTAGGGTGATATTCTTTCATTATGAATATTATCCGCCTCATTTGCTCCGTTTCATAGCCGTCATGTATGCCTATTTGAAGGCACATATATTCAATCAATAATAAATGACAACCCTTTCTCTTAGAAAGATATAATTCTACTAAAATTAAAAACTTTTTTATCACTTTACAACTACTTCAAATATTGGTCAGCAGTCCAAATTCAAGGTTCAATAATACCTATCTCTTAATAGTTTTGGTTTATATAAGAAATGTACATAGAAAATTCTCATATTGCACGTGTACCTTGTCTATTACTAAATGAGCACATAGACATATTGACAGAAATGAAACAATTTGTAATTCCATGTGAGAATATGATAATTTAATACTACACAGTTGTGCGATACAAATCTTTAATGCCCAATAAATTATATCACTCTTTGCAAATGATCATCATCAATAATTCGAATTTTTTTCAAATAAAAAAGTAGAAATTTTTAGGAAATATTTAGAAGATAGGTAGAGGATATTGCATCAAAGATTTAAGCTCGTGATAATGTCATTTATGGAGGTTCAGTGCCGATGTCCAAGTTGTATGAGATAACTATATCTCTTGAATTCAAGCTAATGGCAAGAGCCAAGAGTTTCAGATTCAATTATTTTTACATTCTTTTAAAATAAAAATAAAAATAAAATGAAACATAAAGGCATGACAAGAAATAAGAATCGACCTTTCTCTCCTTCTGAATCTCTGATATAACTCCAGCAATCCCAACCAAAGACTTCGAACTAGTCAGGTGTACGCTGATGACACTGCAAAAAATTCATCTTATTAGCTTGTGGAAACAATAACGCCTGTTATCATATCCACCAAGGGCTGACGAAGCTGGTAAGATGACTACAAAGGAAAATCTAGAAGAGATATATGAATGGTAAGAATTTGATGCCAATTTCCGAATCTCAATAATAAGAATCAACTTTTGCATTCATGGATTTTGTCCTCAAAAGACCAAAGTAAAACTTTAATTTTCCTTGAAACAAATGGAAAAAAAATTAATGATTCATGTTGGGTGGAAAAATTCATACATATATCTCATGGAGTTAAAGACATCATAAATAAATCAAACTCTAAGAACTAAAAAGCAAAAAACAATATTAAAAGCATAATATATAAGGATGGAAAATAGTGGAATTGATGAAAAAAAGTATATCATTAACACGAACAATGAAAAGGATCTATCATTAACACAAGCAGCAGCAACACCTAGCGCCACCTTCTACATAGCCAAAAACAAATTTGGCTAGAAAAACGAGAATAGATGGCCAAAAGCATAATCAGAAACATCTTACAGGAGCATTAGCAATCAAGATATACACCCATCACTGTCAGCGGATGTTAAAAAGCCCTATAAACACAAAGCTCTAGAACCCACAGGGTAAAAAGAAAGAACTGTCTTACTTGAGCTTCTTCTTCATAGTAGTTTCCACAACCCAGTCTCCCACACAATTCAGATCTGTACCCTTAGGAAGAAGATCAACCTGAGATAGAAGACTATGAACTAGTTGAACATCAAAGGACTGTAGAGAACATAAAGAGAGGAAAATATACAAAAATATATATTATAAAAATAGAAACACCTTAGTTACAACTAGTATAATTGGATTAGCACCAGCAAGATCACGTATTCGTGCTAAAAAACTTCCATTGAAATCAACTATATCAACCTACACAATAAAAGCAAAATCAATAAGAAATAAGCAGAATGATAAACCAGATAAGAAACAACTTGATTGCATGTGAAGGGCCAAAATGTAGCAATTTCAAGTGAAAATATTGAACTAGAAGAATCACAAAATAACAAAACAAGCACATTTAGATATTTCGAATAGCTCAAGAGATATTTGAGTAAGGAAAAAGCATTATCAAATAAGAAATTACCAAAATTATCTTACCAGGCAAGTATAATTATGAAAAAAAAAAAGGTAAACAGAGCTGACATAACACTATAGAAGAACATAAACGAAAATCAAAGTATATTGAATCAGACTGGCTAACAAATAACAAAGTTGAGATGTCCAGTAGCTGCAGAGTATCCAAAAAATGGATAATGTTTGAGGCTAATAGGCATTCTTTTATAATAAAATTTCCTCGATGAAATGCTCAGTATCGATGGAAACCTCTTGCACTAGTTATACTTATGCCAGTGATATATTAAGGTCTCTATTAATACAGATCGGCAATTAGATGCTCAAAAAATGCATGAAAATTCGTAGACCAAAATCTTAATTTGGACAATTTTACATTTCCTAATATGAAAACAAAAAACTATGAAGAAACCCTTGCATATGATAAATTAAAAACTATCTATTAGAATAATGTGTAGAAACCTATACGTATAATAATAATTGAGAAAAAGCTCGAAATAATCTCCTGACTATTGATAAATGCTCAAATTAGTCACAGAGTTTTATATTGCCCCTCTTTGTTCCCTCAACTATTAAAAATTGTCCAATTTGGTCTCTGCGTTAGTTTTGTCATTTGAATTAACAGGAAAAGCTGAAAAATTTCGCTTCTTCGTGGGCAATTATGTAAAATAACTTATTACATGCTCACTCGTCATCCCGCTACAATCCCTGGAGAACGAATTGTGCGAGTCAGAAGTTGGACATCCGGTGCTGACGCATCATCCTCTATCCTGATTCCGCTTCGTCCTACCCAAACCAAATAATACTTGGCCCTCCTCTGCACTAACAATTAACAAAAGGAGGGTTTCAAAGTTTTGTCCATGGTAGAGAAGCCAAAACCCGTGAGCGTTCTTTACGGTGATATGTGCGGTTTGCCGGTGAAGTACTGCGAGTTAGGGCCTGACTTTGTGAAGTGCAAGCCTTGGCTCATCTAGAACGCGCTAGATCTTTACCCTAATCTACTCAAAGGTATTATAAGCCCTAGCTTCACTCAATTGAAGTCTTCGATCCTCTGTTGTTTTCTTTTTTTTCCGTCATTAATTGCTTTTTATTTAGGCTTCAGAGGCTAATGATAAATAAGCAGAGAGAGCTTAGGAGGCGGTAGAGGTGCTTGTGAGGTCCAAGATGATCCTTCTAGAGCTTAACTTAGTCTATTCATATTATAAGTGGCTCCCTGTTCTTAGTTTAATAAAGCATTTTGGTTGGCTTACATGAGAGTTTTAGGTGGCACAGACTCGTCATGGTTAGACTATGCTAGGGTTTTAACTTTGTTTCACTAAGTGGATGTAGAATTCTGTTATTGATAGGAAAGTCATGTTGCTCAAATATTATGTTCTTGTAGATTTACGATATGCTCAAATATTTTTAATTATCTTGGATTCAATTAATTCTTATTGGCGTAATACTGTTGGAATCATTGAGGGTAATCAACGATAAATGTAATCGACAACCTACCAATGCGAATGTTTTTGGATAGTGAATTCTTCCATTGGTTTTCTTCGTTGATAAGCAAGAACATTAATTTATAGTTGAGTTTATTTATTATTTTCTTGTTCAATATGTGTATATATTTTAGGAGTCAAATGGGTAATGATAGACTCCGTGCTTTAGTTTCTGAGTGGCTAGATGAAACCAATTTCTTATAAAAATCTAATTTCTTCCATTTGTTTTCCCATTATTCTTCGATCTCATATTTAATCGATGATTAAAATCACATAATAAATGAAAACGGTGAGTCTCAACATCCACAATAAGAATTTTACCAAAAGCATAGTCTTCGTTGCTCATAATTCCTATATTTATAGATATAGGAAATACTAAACTACTAAAATAGCTTAAAAATTGCTAACAAATTTAATAAAATGGACTTAAATAATCTAAATAACAAAATAACTCAAATATTCATAAAAATATAAAATCCAAAATTTAAGTGCACATCTCAACAAAAAAATGAGCACATTAAGTTTATGATGAGCAAAAAATATCATTCTTTTTTCTAGCAGAAATAATGATGACCAGAAGCATATATTTGATACACATATAGCAAAAAAAAAAACAATGTGTACCAGCTTAACTATCAGCACTTTGTCATAACAGATGTCTGAAAGCTTTTCTCGAAGTTCCTCAGCTAAAATGAATTGCTTACCACCTGAATAGCCACCATGGCCACCAACAGCAGTCACCATGTGCCCATGGGACAGTAGCTTACATCTACCACAAAGTATAGTTCTAAGTTGGTGATGCTTCTTTTTCTGTCACATGTTTGTTGGATAAAATTAAGAACCATAGAAGAAAACAAAGATGGCTAATGAAACAAAATTCACGATTAAACAAGGAAAAGTAACTACTTAACTATGAAATTAATAAAGGTAATAACAGCAAGTAACATTTTACGATTTAAATTTTTTAGCAAAGCATTAACCTTTTGTTGCTCTTGAAAGCAATGAGAAAAAAGCACCATTGAGAAAAACTTGCAAAGGTGCATAAAGCAATAGAACTCGGGCATCAATATTCTTGGAGTGCTTGAGCTGCAGCAATGTGAGATCATAACGTGGAAAGAGAGAATTTGGTTGAGCTACCATTATTCTTGGATTAGAGTATAGCTTCTCAGACCAGCTCCCGGCTACAACAGTACCCTCACCATGCCCTTACACTACACCATATATCTTATCACAGTTTAAAGTACACATGGAAAACCATTAAAATATTGTATGGGTTCTAGGGGTGCGAGGAGTCGTGAGACAAGTCTTACACCTTGGATCATTGGGAGAAAATCCCATATATAACTCCATGACTTCATTAACAGTGAAGTGCACTAAAAACACGCTTTCATGATCCATGTTTGGAGAGTCTGAACCAAGCCTCGCAGGGTAGGACATTACGAAATGCCCAATCTCATGTACGGGCCTATTGGGCAGCTTCCTAAATATCCAATAGTATTTGACGCTCTAAAGCCAATCCCAATGCTCAGTAGAATTAATTAAGCTAACGCTATTATGTCGGAAAATCTCATATATCCATTTTTATGAGGGTGAACAGTACGACACACTATTTCTTTTTTTAAATCAAAAAATTAGGTCAAATAAAATATGAGAAAAAATATACACGGGATATTCTTTTTTTAGTGTTAGAAATGAAGTACGGTTGGAAACTAGTTATTGAATTTTGGAGTGAAATTTGAGTTTTTCGGTTGGAGATGGCCTAACAAAGGAACAAGTTCGCCAACGAGGAAACGTGCTCTAATTTTTATAATTTTCCCTTTTAAAATTATTTATTAATCCAAAGAAGCCACCAACATCTTTTTTTGGACACATGAAAAACATTAATGGTTCGTTTTCCCCTTTGCTTCTCTCTAGCGACTCGCGGCCTCAAGCATGGCTTTCGTTTTCCCTTTCGCTACTCTCTCACCCCCAAATGTTGACCGTTCTTGACAGATGTTTATGTCTTCTAAGCTCTAAGCCTCTAAGGGTCGTGTTATTTGCATTCTCTTCTTGGATCCAGTAATGAGACTACAAGCGAAACTATTTTGATGTATTCTAACATTCCAAATGAGACGGCTAATAGAACTATTTTAATTTAGGCCCAGTGAATAAAATTTCTGGCCACTGACAACAATCATGGTGCGTGCAATTCAATCAGAACACCACAGTTACTTTAGAACAAACTCAACATGAAACTAACTTGAGCAATACAAGAGAACAACAATGTAAGATCCCAAAAGCCATAACAGGAATCAGTAATTCAAAAATATCTCAAAGAAGGCTCACCAGCTCAAATATCTCGGGATCAACAAAGCCTGGTGCATCCGCCTCTTCCGTCTGCAGCGGAGCGCCACAGCCATAGCAGCAAACTTCTAAGGAGGACGACACAGCCTTGCCTCTTTTATTCTTCTTCTTCTCCTTGGAACCACTCTGCTTCAGGATAAGCACGGCTCTGGCCCTAGCGTGCTGGTGCTCGAGGAAACGCTCACCAGGGCTCGGAGCGGCCGCGCCGGTTCCCTCCGCCTCAACGACGGAAGGGTCGGCGGTAGGCAACGACGCAGTCTCAGACGCGGGCGGCCTGCGTGAGGCCCGACACGCGACTGGCTCCGGACAAAAAGTAGCTAGCAGTGATTTCTTGAAGGGTTCAGGGTTGGAGCTTTGGGGATTGTGGAGGACGAATGACGAGTGGAGGGAACAGAAGGGCGAGAGGGCTCGCGGTGAAGTGAATAATGGAATCGGCGCCATTACCCGACGTTGCCGCAGGGGCCGAGCGACTAGGCCATCTCAAAAATCAGTAATAGGCTGTTTTTTTTTTTTTTTTTTTACATTTAGGTGAATTAAAATAAATTCACACACCCCACGCATACACAAAGACTCGAACTCAGGACTTCTTAGTTGAAGCATAAACTCTAAACCAATAGGCCAAGGCCAAGGTGAGCTGTGTGTAATGGGCTGTTTGTTTTGCTACATTTAGGATGCATAGTAATTCAAAAATACTGATTTTGATAATTTGAGTGATAAGTTGGATGCAAAATAAATTTAAAATAAAATAAAGCAATGCAACATATTTCATTCTAGTCGAATTTTTTGTGTATTTGAAATTCTTCTTATTTGGACGATTTCCAAATACCCTTGCCGGCTATCTCTGTCTACCGGCAGCCACGACCTCCGACCACCACTACCATCACTGCTGGCCACCATTGATGGCCTTCGCCGCCGGCCGCCTCCTCTGAGCCATCATTGTCGTCGCCTCTAGCCATTGCAATTACTTTACTTCAAGCTAAACAAAAAATAATAATGTCATCTAAATACTTTATTTCAAATCAAATAAAAAAATATTCCTTTTACATAATTTTCATTTTTCAAGAAACCAACAACCCCTAAAACTCCAAAATGACCTTATTCAGTAAAACTGTATCTATGGAGAAATTATTACATGCACTTATAAAAGATATGAAAACATAAAATATGTAAACTTTATATTAATTTTTTAAGAAAAAATCATGAGGTATATGACCTAAATAAAATGATTAACTATATAATTAAGTTATAAAAGTCCCTCAATGAGATAATATGTTATTATGAAATAATAAATTTGAGTTTTATCCTATATTTTATTGTGTAACTTGCTCTAAAAATAATGGAAGGGTGATAATGGAAATTGGATAATATTAGCCAGACAGCAGTCAGATTTTGAAGGTCAAATGATAGAGGTTAACTGACGAATCAACTAAAGTAGTCAGGTGTGATACATCATAAAAAAAGAAGCCAGCCACGAATCTCGAGGTAAAATCAAGTTGGAACCTTCTGAAATTAAAATTGGGGTCATCTGAACTCTGATTTCAGCGAACATACAGTCAAACTAAACGTCTCAAAAATACGAACCCAACGATACCAAATTCGACTCAATCTGAGCCCAAATGGGTCCAATCAAGGGCCCGAACATGCTTATAGTCGAATCGAGCGACTCGACGAGACGAATCCAATGAGCCCAAGATCACAAAATTCTAACATCATTGATTCCTTCAAATGTCTAGCAAACGGTTCACGATCAAGAAATTCAATATTAGTCGTCCATCTAAACTACTCCCCATTTACTCTTGATCTTCCTCTTATTTTAAGGGTCGTAATATACCATCATTCTGTGACGCCCCAAACATCCATAGTGAAAGGATTCATCTACAATCTTGATCAATCTCTATTCCTGCTCCCTTGCTCGGACCTGAAATTGTTAACCACATATAATGAGCTTCAAAAAGCCCAGCAGGTCACCAACCATCACTTCCTGCTCCCTTGCTCTGACCTAAAATTGTTAACCACATATAATGAGCTTCAAAAAGCCCAGCAGGCCGGTCACCAAAGACTACAACTGAAATCAATGCATGGTACTGAAACAATATGCATGTCAATCAGTCAAATTCATACCAGTCACTTGCACATGATCATTGAATCTATGTAGATATGAAAATCAGTAATCAATACAGTAACAGAAATCAATACATAAATGGTAGTCAATACAGAAACATGTGAATCCATAATCATCAGTAGAAGAATCAGTGAACAGTATAAAAGTTCATAAAGCTCAATGAATCAGTACGTGAGTCTTATCTATAACATCAATCAAAGCAATGTAGTAGAATCATATCAAAACATACACTTGCAATTCCAGTATTCAATATCACTTGCTCAGTAAATCATATGCAATCCAGTAATTGTTATAGTATAATGTCAGTACAGTGAATCAATAGCAGTAGCGTATGTATCAATATCAGTAAAAATTTTATGACGACATGAACGATTATGCAATAACAGTGAAATCGTGTAGTAACAGTAAATCCATACAGTAACGATAAATCCGCACAATAATGATAAATCCTCAGTAAATAAGTCCATACTAGTAAATCAGCCAAATCAATATCGTATTATTAACATCAATCAAACATATCAATAGAATCAATTAGATAATTAAATAAAGAAATTAATTCCGGTCAATAGTATCAATCGGTATGAAATCATATAAAATAATCAAATCAATACATCATTAAAAGAGTTGAAATTAAATCAATAAATCAATCAATGCAGTAAAATCATCTTCTATATCACGTGCTCGGTAAATCGTAAATCACATGAAATTCAATAT